CAACCCACCCACCCCACCCACACACCCCACCCACACCCACACCCCACCCACACCCACCCCACCCCACACCCACCCACCCCACCCACACCCACCCTCACCCATCCAACCACACCCACCCACACCCACACCCACCCACACCCACCCACACCCACCCACACCCACCCACACCCACCCCACACCCACCCATCCACACCCACACCCACCCACTGACCTACCCACTGACCCACCCACACCCACCCACCCCACACCCACTGACCTACTCACTGATCAACCCACTGACCTACCCACTGACCCACAACCCACAGTATTAACAGCTTGAGGTTACGTCATCCATGGTTTGGTGTTCGGTGCCAGACGCACATACGAGAGGTTGTGGTGGTAGTTGTGGTGGTGGTTGTGGTTGTTGTGATTGTGCTGGTTGTGGTTGTGATTGTGGTGGTTGTGGCGGTGGTGGTTGTGGTGGTCGTGGGTGTGGTGGTGATGGTTGGGGTGGTGGTTGGGGTGGTGGTTGTGGTGGTGGTGGTTGGGGTGGTGGTGGTTGGGGTGGTTGTGATGCTGGTTGTGGTGGTAGTTGTTATTGTGGTGGTTCAGGTGGTGGTTGTGATTGAGGTGGTGGTTGTGATTGAGGTGGTGGTTGTGATTGAGGTGGTGGTTGTGATTGAGGTGGTGGTTGTGATTGAGGTGGTGGTTGTGATTGAGGTGGTGGTTGTGGTTGAGGTGGTGATTGAGGTGGTGGTTGTGGTGGTGGTTGTAATTGTGGTGGTGGTTGTAATTGTGGTGGTGGTTGTAATTGTGGTGGTGGTTGTGATTGTGGTGGTTGTGTACCAGTGTACTCCGCTACGGAGGCCACAGAGGAAGTGGTTGAGCCGTTCTCCCAGTCTCGGTCACCAGCGCCACGGCCTCCCAGCGCGTGCATCTCATCCAGCCTGCGTCCACCACACACCACCACCATCACCATCACATAGTGGCACCACCGTCACCACCACCACACAGCAGTACTACTGTAGAGGTGTTAACTACGCGCTGTTGCGTAACCTGCGTTGCCACCAGGGCAGTGCAGCATTACCCCGGGGTACAACGGTTGGGGTCAGTCGAGGTGAACCGGATCGTGGCCAGGGTTTGGTACGAACCAATCAGACGGTTCCACGTGGGAATGTGTGATTGGTTCTGCCTGGCCACGAAGGAGTATAAGACGGGTGACTCAACGGACCTCGGGGAGTTCTCTCCCTGCAGGAAGACAGAAGACCGGGCTGGAGCCTAGCTAGGACCCTGGACCAGCCTTCCAGCTCTTCTAAGGGCTAAGGCTCGGCATACCCAGTGGTCAGGACCCACCAGGCCAGCGGTGGGTCAGATAGCCTCCCCTAGGTCCTAGCCGGAGGACTCTAGGATAGCGGTAGACGTGTGAGTCCCGCCAAGTCTGGAGGTTGTGTACCTCCTTAGGTATCAAGGAGGTTAGCGGTAGACGTGTGAGTCCCGCCAGGTCCCGAGGCTGTGTACCTCCTTAGGTATCAAGGAGGTTAGCGGTAGACGTGTGAGTCCCGCCAAGTCCCGAGGCTGTACCTCCTTAGGTATCAAGGAGGTTAGCGGTAGACGTGTGAGTCCCGCCAAGTCCCGAGGCTGTACCTCCTTAGGTATCAAGGAGGTTAGCGGTAGACGTGTGAGTCCCGCCAGGTCCCGAGGTTGTGTACCTCCTTAGCTATCAAGGAGGTTAGCGGTAGACGTGTGAGTCCCGCCAAGTCCCGAGGCTGTACCTCCTTAGGTATCAAGGAGGTTAGCGGTAGACGTGTGAGTCCCGCCAAGTCCCGAGGCTGTGTACCTCCTTAGCTATCAAGGAGGTTAGTAGTAGACGTGTGAGTCCCGCCAAGTCCCGAGGCTGTGTACCTCCTTAGGTATCAAGGAGGTTAGCGGTAGACGTGTGAATCCGGCCAAGTCCGGAGGCTGTACCTCCTTAGGTATCAAGGAGGTTAGCGGTAGACGTGTGAGTCCCACCAGGTCCGGAGGCTGTACCTCCCTAGGGTATCCGGTGAGGGGACCGAATATCCCTCCGTGTGTGTTAAGCGTTGTATAAGGGAATAATACAATAAACAGAGTGTGCCTCCTAAAGAAGTCTGTTCGTCCTTACAACACTACACTACCATCGCCATCGCCATCGCCACCACGTCAACCACTACAACCACCCACAGCACCACCACCGCCGCCACCTCGCCTGCCGCAGCACCGCCATGTGGTGCTGCGCCAGGCTAGGTGCACTTCAAGGCCATCACGTGAAGTGTCGAACGCCCGCTGGCAGGAGGAGGTCACGGGACAGACCCCGCAGGAGCAATAGGTCGGCCGACTGAGATGACCGGGCAGATGGCACCACCTGTGCCCCATGCTGTGCCAGGCTAGGTGCAGGAGGTCACGGGACAGACCCCGCAGGTGCCGTGGGTCGACTGACTGAGATGACCGGCAGATGGCCCCCTACTGCGCAAAGTTGCTGCGTTTTAGCCGCCCGCCGCTCCGCTCGTTGTTGTGAGCCACACACACACACACACACGTGGGGCACGTACACACGCGTACACACACGCGCTACACACACGTACACACACGCGCACACACGTACACACGCGCACACACACGCGTACACACGCGCACACACACGCGCTACACACGCGCTACACACGCGCACACACGCGCACACACACGCACGCCACACACGCGTACACACGCACGCCACACACACGTACACAAGCACGCACACACACGCACGCCACACACGCACTACACACACGTACACACACGCACACACGCGCATACACGCATGCCACACACGCGTACACAAGCACGCACACACACGCACGCCACACACGCGCACACGTACACACACGCACACACGCGCTACACACACGTACACACACGCACGGCGTGGTTGTGGTTGTGGTTGCGGTTGCCGAGCGGCGGCTCACCGATGCGGCCGCACGCCCGAGTGGACGCTGTCCGCCGTGGCCGCCGTGGCCACTGAGTTGGTGGAGCCGGACTCGGCCCGGCTCAGATTCCCCACTGGGCGGGGGGGGGACGGGGGTAGAGGGGGAAGGGGGAGTCCGTTACACCGCTCAACACTCCCCGTTACACCGCTCGTCACTCCTCGTTACACCGCTCGCCACTCCCCGTTACACCGCTCGTCACTCCCTGTTACACCGTTCCCCGTTACACCACTCAACACTCCCCGTTACACCACTCGCCACTCCCCGTTACACCGCTCGTCACTCCCCGTTACACCGCTCGCCACTCCCTGTTACACCGTTCCCCGTTACACCACTCAACACTCCCCGTTACACCACTCGCCACTCCCCGTTACACCGCTCGTCACTCCCCCCGTTACGCCGGACACGACCGCGTTGGCGTTCTGCCATTATAACACCGCACCGCACGGCACACTGCGGTGCCGGCGGTCCCGGCGAGCCGAGTTCCATCCCGGCTGGCGGCCACCAGCGCCGGTGACGATTATCTGAACGGGCCCTGGGCCTCCCCTAGGTCGACCCGGCCTCAAATGAGTACCTGGCATAGCGGTGTGCAGTGAACATCGGCACTGGGGGAGACAAAGGCGGCCGGGCGTGGTGCTGACCACCCACCCCCCCTCGTGTGTCACAGTGCCGGTAGCCTTCATGAGCTGCTGTCACTTCGCTAAAGGCGCTTGCCCCAACAGTCCGTTAAGGTTTAGACGGGGGCTCTTTGCCTTCATTGACTTTCAAACCAGATAGCTCGCTGAGCCTACAAGGCAGTCAGACGGAGGGAGGGAGGGAGGGATGGATGGAGGAAGGCATGCAGGGATTGATGGAGGGATTGATGAAGCGAGGGAATGAGTGAGCGATGGAGGAAGGGATTGATGGAAGTGAAGGAGGGATGGAGGTGAGGGAGGTGAGGGAGGGATGGAGGTGAAGGAGGGATGGAAGTGAAGGAGGGATGGAGGTGAGGGAGGTGAGGGAGGGATGGAGGTGAGGGAGGGATGGAGAGGGGGAGGGAGGGGGCAGGGAGTCAGGGAGGTGAGGGAGGAGGGAGGTGAGGGAGGTGAGGGAGGGATGGAAGTGAGGGATGGAGGTGAGGGAGGGATGGAGGCGAGGGAGGTGAGGGAGGAGGGAGGGATGGAGGTGAGGGAGGGATGGAGGCGAGGCGAGGGATGGAGAGGGAGGGATGGAAGTGAGGGAGGAGGGAGGTGAGGGAGGTAAAGGAGGGATGGAGGTGAAGGAGGTGAGGGAGGGATAGAAGTGAAGGAGGGATGGAGGCGAGGGAGGGATGGAGGCGAGGGATGGAGGCGAGGGTTTGGATGGAGAGGCGAGGCGAGGGATGGAGAGGGAGGGGGGCCAACCTCACCGGAGGGCGCCTTGCCGGGGGAGCCCCCCACGGGGCCGTCGTGCTCCCGCTGGACCGACTTGGGCCGCTGCCTGCGGGCGTGAGGCCGCACGTGCGGCGGCGGCGGCGCCGGCTTGGGGCGCGTGGCGCCGGCCTCCTCCAGCAGCTGCTCCTGCTTGCGCCGCAAGTACTCCTGCTTGATCACCTCCTTCCGGGCCTTCTCCTCCTCCTTGCGCGTGCGGTCCTCCTCCGCCTTGCGCCTGAGCGGGTGGGGGTGGTCGACGGCGGGGTCACGTCACGCACACACACACGCGGGGTCACGTCACGCACGTAGTGTCACTCACACTCACATCACACGTGGTGTCAAGTCACACACACACGCACGTAGTGTCACCCACACTCACATCACATATGGTGTCACATCACACACACACACACGCACGTAGTGTCACCCACACTCACATCACGCGTGGGGTCACATCATGCACGCACGTAGTGTCACCCACACTCACATCACATATGGTGTCACATCACACACACACACACGCACGTAGTGTCACCCACACTCACATCACACACGGTGTCACAACAACAACAACCGCCATTCGCCACTAAGTGGCGGTGACGTCACCACGACGCTTGTGCCAGGCTATGTGCACCCTGAGGCCACGTGAAGTGTCGAACGCCCGCTGGCAGGAGGTCACGGGGCAGACCCAGGTGCCACGGGTCGACTGACTGAGATGACTGGCTGATGCACCACCTGTGCCCCCTACTGTGCCAACCTGCTGTGCTTTAGCCACCCGGCGCTCCGCTCGTTGTTGTGAGCGTCGTTCCTCCGCCCTCCGTTGTTGTTGGAGGGCGACTACCTCCAACTGCCCAGTAGCGTCCTTCACGAGCCTCCTCCACAGAGGCCGATCTTGACACCGCTGGTACCAGTCATCGGCAAGTCCACTCAGCTCCACGTCCTCCTGTACCACATCACTCCATCTCTTCTCTAGCCCGTGCCGCGCCCGTTTAACCCCTCAATCCGGCCTAACAAAAGCTGTTTCGGCATGCGTTGGCTGGGCATGCGGGCTACATGACCCAGCCATCGCAGCCTTGCCCGCCAGAGGAGCTCACCGATGGGACCTTGTCCAGATCTTTCAAGGATTTGTGAGCCCCTCACACAATCCAGTCTGGTTAAACCCAGGATGGATCGTAGGCAGGCCAGCCTAAATGTTTCTAACCGGCGAAGATGTTCCATTAGGGGGGTCCACGTTTCGCAAGCGTAGAGAAGGGAGGGAATTACCGTGACCGAGAAGACCTGAAGCTTAGTGCGGAGCGACAGACCAGGTAGCTTCCACACAGCGTTACGCAACCGATGAAAAGATATTGCCGCTCGACTGATTCGGAGTGAGACCTCTGCTGTTAAACTGGAGCCAGTCATAAGCACACTACCCAGGTATGGGAAACTCTCCACTCTCTCCACAACTGCCCCATCACCGATTGGGAGTTGTGGGGGTGGAGTGTCCGATGGTACAAAATACCCAGGCAGGTGCTTAGTTTTGGTGGGGCTGATGGTAAGGCCCCACCTCTTAGTGGCACGCTCCAGTCTCAGCAGCAGCGTCTCCAACTCCTCCTCTGACTGATCATCAGCATACATAACGTGGTTGAGCAATAGGGAGCCATCCCTTGACCGCACCCGGGCATCGATCAGCCTCCCATTATATCTGTACCATATGGAGATTCCCCCGGTACAGCTATTGAAGGCTTCACGAACTACGTGGTCAAAATAGATGTTAAATAATGTGGGAGCCAGAGGACATCCCTGTCGCACCCCAAGGTGTACAGGGAATGGCTCTGACTCCCGGCCACGTAGTTTTACCCGGGCCCGCTCACCATCATGAAGGTCCTTAATGATCGTGAGCAGAGGGTCAGGTACTCCAAAAGCACGAAGAACGACCCAGAGCCCAGGCCTACTGATGGTATCATAGGCCTTGACCAGGTCAATAAAGCAGAGATGTAGGTCTTGTTGGAATTCCCTACACCTCTGCTGTAGCAGACGGACAGAAAATATGGCATCTGTGCAGGACCGCCCTTTCCTGAAACCGCATTGGGGCTCCGCAAGCCTCTCCTCAGCGTGCCTGGCAAGGCGATGCTGAATAATCCTTGCCAGGACCTTTTCCGGCACACTGAGGAGTGAGATGCCCCTGTAGTTGTTACAGTCTGTGCAGTCCCCCTTCTTAAAGAGGGGGACCACCAGGGCATCCTTCCAATCCTGCGGAACCCGTCCAGCGGCCCAGACCGTTGTTATGATGTCATATAGGGCAGTCTGTGCACAAACGCCACCCTCCCTCAGCATTTCCCTTGGGAGATCATCTCTGCCCGCTGCCTTTCCTGGTGTCAGACTCCGGATCGCCTTCAGTACTTCCTCAACAGATGGCACCTCAGCCAGCCACTCACAGGGGGTGACTTCTTCCAATATTGGAGGCACCACAGCCTCAGCAGGGTCATCCTCACTTTGTGCCACGATGTTTTCCTGGCCGAGGGATTTTCCCTCCCCCAGGACCTCACAGAAATGCTCAGCAAATCTGCAAACCTGTTCCTGGGGGTCGGAGATTGGATCACCGTTTTTTCCCCTAATGATGGTAATAGGTGTGGCGCTGCAGGTTACTTTTTTTATGGAGTTAAATAGAGATTTGTGATCGTGGGCCACTGAGGCAGACTCCATCTCCTCAGCAACCCGCGACCACCACCCATCCTTGCAGCGCCTCACGGCTCTACGAACCTCCGAGCGAAGGCTGCGGTAAGCCTCCTCATTCTCTGACGTGGGATTCTGTAGCCGATGACAGTGGGCCTGTCGCTTTTTCTCAACCATCCTGAACACCTCCTCTGTCAGCCAGGGTCTCTGGGGAGGTCTGGACCGCGTACCCAAAGCAGCCATTGCAGCTGCATGAGTCACAGTCCTAAACCTCGCCCATTTACCCTCGACATCAGGAGGAGTCGGGGACGATGCCAATCCCAGCCGCAAGCGATGATGAAATTCTCGCTTGCAACTTTCATCAGATAACTGAGACCAGGCCACTTTCGGTCGGAATGGGGTCCTGGGTGTACACCCACCACCGGAGTGGAAGAATGGCAGGCGCATCTTACAGATGACTAGTCGATGGTCAGAGGGCAGATCAGCTCCACGGTAGGTCCTGGTGTCAAGGACATAGGCTCGCATTCGCTGGTCCGTCACTATGTAGTCCAGCAGATGTTCTTGCTTGGACCCGGCATGCATCCATGATGTTGTGTGGATGCGCCGATGCCGGAACAGCGTGTTGGTAATTACAAGCCCATGGGCTGTACAAAAATCTAGCAGCCTCCTACCGTTGTTATTGAGCTGATCTGGCCCATGCCCTCCAATCACTCCAGACCAGGTGCCAGTATCATGACCAACTCGGGCATTGAAGTCACCCAACATGATGACTCTATCCCGAGGGGCCACTTTAGCCAGCACCTGTGACAGGAGGTCATAGAAGGCATCTGACTCATCGACTTTGCCTGCATCCCTCCACGGATGTTCATCTTCGGTGGGGGCATAAGTAACCACGACCACCATTCCTCGCCTCCGGTTGATGGGAAGGCGAGCCCAAAGTAGCCTGGGGCTTACAGCTTCCCACACCTCACCGCCACGCTCCCACGCCCCCTTCATTCTTTTGTTCAAAAGAAGACCCACACCCTGTTGTTTGGCAGTCTGCTGCCCCGAGTAGAGGACTGTCCACCCCTCATGGTGGCAGGAGCCAGAGCCGGTCCACCGGACCTCCTGAATGCCGCATAGATCCAGGCGGTACCGGTCCAGCTCCCGACAGAGGAGTGGCAGCCTCTCCTCTGCAGTGAGCGTTCGAACATTCCACGTGGCCACCCGTAGTGGCTTTTCGTTGTTTCTGGAGTAGCCCCGAGGGTAGGTATTCAATCTCCTGGCTCCGCCAATTGGGGTTTGGCCAGGAGATGTCATAGACGCCTGGCCCCCCGGGGCCTCCGGCACAAGCTTAGTTGTTACATATTTCAGTTTAATTCGTGGTTTCGTGGTAATTAATTGAAGGTGAAGGGGTTACCAGCCCCTCGCACCCGTCCAGAGCCCCCGTTTAGCCCCTGTGGTGGACACATATGCCATGAGGGGAGGAGCCAATAAAAATTGGATCTCCCCCCACAGCGCTGTCCACGACAGAGTTGCCCGTCCGGCACCGCGAGGAGGTAGGGGGTTGTTTTGCCGGACCCACACACACACACCCACACACACACACACCCCCACACACACACCCACACACACACACACCCCCACACCCCCACACACACACACACACATACACACACACCCCACACACCCACACACACACCAACACACACCCCCCACACACGCCCCCACACACACACACCCCCACACACACACACACCCCCCCACACACACACCCCCACACACACCCCCACACACACCCACACACACACACCCCCACACACACCCACACACACACACCCCTACACACACCCTCACACACACTCACCCCCACACACACACACACACCCCGACTCACACACTCACCCCCACACACACCCCCACACCTACACACACACACCCACACACACACACACACCCCCCCACACACACCCCACACCCCACACACACACACACACACCCCCACCCCACACACACCCCCCAGTTCCTCACCGGGCCTCCTCACGCTTCATCTCGCTGTCGGCGTCGAGCTGCAAGCGCCGTGACCGCGCCTCCTCCATCTTGCGCTGCTGCTTGAGCAAGAAAGCCGCCCGCCTCTTGGCCATCTCGTCCTCGCCACGCACCTCGTCCTGCACAGCCACCACCGCAGACGACCCGGGGGCAGGGGGGCAGGGGAGGGAGCGGGACATCACCAAGGACCGACCAAGGCACGCTCGCTGTCCCCGCGCTCCGAGTGACGCTCACAGTCAAAGACGCTCTCTCTCTCTCGCTCGCTCACTCATACACTCACTCACTCACACACTTACTCACTCATACACTCACTCTCTCACTAATACACTCACTCTCTCACTAATACACCCATACACTCACTCATACATCATACACTCACTCATACACTCACTCACTCACTCATAAACTCACTAACTCACTCAAACACTCACCCCCCTCTCTCGCTCGCACACTAACTCATACACTCACTCACTCACTCATACACTCACTCACTCACACACTCACTCTCACACTCACGCTCACCCCTCTCACGCTCACCGCCGTCGCGGCTGCCTCCAACGCACCTTGTAGAAGAATCCCAGGCCGGGGATGTCCCCCGACAGGTCCAGCTGCTCCGAGTCACCGGCGCCACCGCCGGCGCCCACCAACCCCTCGAGCTCGGCCACCGTCAGCTCGGCGAGGTCGACCTCGATGAGCGTCGACCGGTTCCTCGGTTCCCCGTCCGTCTCCCTCCCCGCTTCCCCCCCCTCCCCCTCCTCCTCCTCCACCTCATCGCCAACACCGCCGTCGCCGTAATAACCGCGGCCGACCTCCTCCTCCTCCTCCTCCATCGCTCGGCCCGCGCCGTCCGACAAGTCCAGCGAGCGGGGCCTGCCGCCGCCGCCGCCGCCGCCGCCGCCGCCGCCGCCGTCTTTGCCGGGACCGCGCCGAGCGTTGCCCTCGTCGTGCAAGCGGAAGGGCTCGGCCGGGGCGGGCCGGGCGGCCCTGCCGACGCGCCGCAGGTGCGGGAGGCTGTCCACGTCCTGCGGGGGCGACATGCCGCGCGGCGACGGCGGGGGCGGCGTGGCCGGCGGGCGGCCGTGCCCGCCGGCCCCCTGCTGCTGCTGCTGCTGCTGCTGGTGGGGGCTGGCGACGGGCGACGCCGAAGCCGGGCCGTGGTGGTGGTGGTGGTGGTGGGGACGGCCGCCGGCCTCGCCCTGGAGCTTCAGCTCCTGCGGCCGCACGCCCCGTGGCCACGATTTGGCGGCGGCCGCGGCGGCCGCGGCGGGCCCGCGGCGGCCGCCCGGCGCCACCCGCTGCGAGGAGACGGCGCCTGCGGCAACAAGCGAGGGCGTCGGGCGAGGGCGAGGAAGCAACGCGGTGACGCGGTGGCTCCGAGCCGCCCGCCCGCCCCCCCCAACACACACACACACACCAACACAAAGACAAAGATACCGCCCCACCCCCAACACCAGTTTAGACTGTAACAGACTGTTGGGGCAGTAGGGGAACACCTATGAAGGCCGGCACTCGGGTACACGAGGGGGTGGGTGGCCAGCACCACGCGCGCACAGCACACACACAGCAACATAAACACACCAACACACACACACCAACACACAAAAGACAAAGACAAAGATCCCCCATATAGCCTGTAACAGACTGTAGGGGCAAGTGCTGTTAGCGAGCACCTATGAAGGCCGGTACGGTACACGAGGGGGTGGGTGGCCAGCACCACGCCCGACCGCCTTTGTCTCCCTAGTGGCGATGTTTACACACCGCACCAGGTACTCATTTGAGGCTGAGTCGACCTAGGGGAGGCCCGGGACCGGTTCAGATAATCGTCACTGGTGTTGGCCGTGAGCGGGAATCGAACCCGGGTCGCCAGGTTCATAGCGCAGCGTAGCGCTAACCGCTACACTATCGCTCCCCACACACGAGCGCACACCAACACGCGCACACAGCAACACACACACCAACACGCGCACACACCAACACGCGCACACACCAACACGCGCACACAGCAACACACAGCAACACACAGCAACACACACACACATCAACACGAGCAGGCACACACTCGCGCACCTCCATCCCCGGTTTGCACCGGCGACGGTGGTGCACCGCGCCGGCCCGTCCGCTGCTGCTGCTGCTGCTGCTGCGGGGCGGCCGCGGCAGCGGCGGCCGCCGCGGCCGACAGCGCCGGCAGGCTGAGCAGCACCTCCTGCTGCTGCGACAGCCGCTGCATCTCCAGCTGCAGGACGCACAGCGTCTCGTTGAGCTTCTCGATGGAGCGGTTGTACTCGGGCGCGCCGTCCGCTACCGTCGCCGCCTCCTCCACCTCCTCGTCCTCCTCCTCCTCCCCCCCCTCCTCGTCCCGCTCCGCCATCGCCGCCGCCACCGCCGCCACGAACTCCCCTTCCTCCTCCTCGTCCCGCCGCCGCCGCCGCTGCCGCGCCGACGCCGACGCCGACGCCGACGCCGACGCCGACGCCGACGCCGCGGCCTTGCCGGGCCCGCGGGCTGTCGTCGGCGGCGGCGGCGGCGTCCGTTCCCGGAGCCAGCGCTGACGCAGCGCGGCCATGTTCCGCCGGATCTCGAGCTCGGTGAGCTTGGCGGGGTCGGGGTCGCGGCACGAGCCAGCGTGCCGCGGCGTTCTCGGCACCACGCCGTCGTCGTCGCCGCCGCCGCCGTCGCCGTCGTCGCCGCCGCCGTCGCCGCGCTCGTCACACTCGTCGCCGCTGCCCCGCGTCTCGCGGCGAGACTCCAGCTGCATCTTCCTGGAGCTGGTGGTCTCCTCCTTCGACGGGCGCTCCTGTGCCACCCATCATCGTCACGTAGACAAAGACGCCATCATCGTCACGTAGACAAAGACTCCATCATCGTCACGTAAACAAAGACGCCATCATCATCACGTAGACAAAGACTCCATCATCGTCACGTAGACAAAGACGCCATCATCGTCACGTAGACAAAGACTCCATCATCGTCACGTAGACAAAGACTCCATCATCGTCACGTAGACAAAGACGCCATCATCGTCACGTAAACAAAGACGCCATCATCGTCACGTAGACAAAGACGCCATCATCGTCACGTAAACAAAGACGCCATCATCGTCACGTAGACAAAGACGCCATCATCGTCACGTAGACAAAGACGCCATCATCGTCACGTAGACAAAGACGCCATCATCGTCACGTAGACAAAGACGCCATCATCGTCACGTAGACAAAGGCGCCATCATCGTCACGTAAACAAAGACAAAGACGCCATCATCGTCACGTAGACAAAGGCGCCATCATCGTCACGTAGACAAAGACAAAGGCTCCATCATCGTCACGTAAACAAAGACAAAGACACCATCATCGTCACGTAAACAAAGGCTCCATCATCGTCACGTAGACAAAGACAAAGACGCCATCATCGTCACGTAAACAAAGACGCCATCATCGTCACGTAAACAAAGACTCCATCATCGTCACGTAAACAAAGACAAAGACGCCATCATCGTCACGTAAACAAAGACGCCATCATCGTCAAGTAAACAAAGACAAAGACTCCATCATCGTCACGTAGACAAAGACAAAGGCTCCATCATCGTCACGTAAACAAAGACGCCATCATCGTCAAGTAAACAAAGACTCCATCATCGTCACGTAGACAAAGACTCCATCATCGTCACGTAAACAAAGACAAAGGCGCCATCATCGTCACGTAGACAAAGACAAAGGCGCCATCATCGTCACGTAAACAAAGACAAAGACGCCATCATCGTCACGTTAACAAAGACAAAGGCTCCATCATCGTCACGTAAACAAAGACAAAGACGCCATCATCGTCACGTAGACAAAGACAAAGACTCCATCATCGTCACGTAAACAAAGACAAAGACTCCATCATCGTCACGTAAACAAAGACGCCATCATCGTCACGTAAACAAAGACGCCATCATCGTCACGTAGACAAAGACGCCATCATCGTCACGTAAACAAAGACGCCATCATCGTCACGTAAACAAAGACAGAGGCTCCATCATCGTCAAGTAAACAAAGACAAAGACGCCATCATCGTCACGTAAACAAAGACAAAGACGCCATCATCGTCACGTAAACAAAGACAAAGACTCCATCATCGTCACATCGTCACGTAAACAAAGACGCCATCATCGTCACGTAAACAAAGACGCCATCATCGTCACGTAGACAAAGGCTCCATCATCGTCACGTAAACAAAGACAAAGACTCCATCATCGTCACGTAGACAAAGACAAAGGCTCCATCATCGTCACGTAAACAAAGACGCCATCATCGTCACGTAGACAAAGACAAAGACGCCATCATCATCACGTAGACAAAGACAAAGGCTCCATCATCGTCACGTAAACAAAGACAAAGACGCCATCATCGTCACGTAAACAAAGACGCCATCATCGTCACGTAAACAAAGACGCCATCATCGTCACGTAAACAAAGACAAAGACGCCATCATCGTCACGTAGACAAAGACAAAGGCTCCATCATCGTCACGTAAACAAAGACAAAGACTCCATCATCGTCACGTAAACAAAGACGCCATCATCGTCACGTAGACAAAGACTCCATCATCGTCACGTAAACAAAGACTCCATCATCGTCACGTAGACAAAGACAAAGACGCCATCATCGTCACGTAAACAAAGACAAAGACGCCATCATCGTCACGTAAACAAAGACAAAGACGCCATCATCGTCACGTAAACAAAGACAAAGACTCCATCATCGTCACGTAAACAAAGACGCCATCATCGTCACGTAAACAAAGACAAAGGCTCCATCATCGTCACGTAGACAAAGACAAAGACGCCATCATCGTCACGTAAACAAAGACAAAGACGCCATCATCGTCACGTAAACAAAGACAAAGACTCCATCATCGTCACGTAAACAAAGACGCCATCATCGTCACGTAAACAAAGACAAAGACTCCATCATCGTCACGTAGACAAAGACGCCATCATCGTCACGTAAACAAAGACAAAGACGCCATCATCGTCACGTAAACAAAGACGCCATCATCGTCACGTAAACAAAGACAAAGACTCCATCATCGTCACGTAGACAAAGACAAAGACGCCATCATCGTCACGTAAACAAAGACAAAGACGCCATCATCGTCACGTAGACAAAGACGCCATCATCGTCACGTAGACAAAGACGCCATCATCGTCACGTAGACAAAGACGCCATCATCGTCACGTAAACAAAGACAAAGACGCCATCATCGTCACGTAGACAAAGGCTCCATCATCGTCACGTAAACAAAGACAAAGACGCCATCATCGTCACGTAAACAAAGACAAAGACGCCATCATCGTCACGTAAACAAAGACAAAGACACCATCATCGTCACGTAGACAAAGACGCCATCATCGTCACGTAGACAAAGACAAAGACACCATCATCATCACGTAAAGAAAGACTCCATCATCGTCACGTAAACAAAGACGCCATCATCGTCACGTAGACAAAGACTCCATCATCGTCCCGTAAACAAAGACAAAGGCTCCATCATCGTCACGTAAACAAAGACTCCATCATCGTCACGTAAACAAAGACGCCATCATCGTCACGTAAACAAAGACGCCATCATCGTCACGTAAACAAAGACGCCATCATCGTCACGTAAACAAAGACAAAGACTCCATCATCGTCACGTAAACAAAGACAAAGACGCCATCATCGTCACGTAAACAAAGACGCCATCATCGTCACGTAGACAAAGACAAAGACGCCATCATCGTCACGTAAACAAAGACAAAGACTCCATCATCGTCACGTAGACAAAGACAAAGACGCCATCATCGTCATGTAAACAAAGACGCCATCATCGTCACGTAAACAAAGACAAAGGCTCCATCATCGTCACGTAAACAAAGACGCCATCATCGTCACGTAGACAAAGACGCCATCATCGTCACGTCAACAAAGACAAAGACACCATCATCGTCACGTAAACAAAGACAAAGACTCCATCATCGTCACGTAAACAAAGACAAAGACGCCATCATCGTCACGTAAACAAAGACGCCATCATCGTCACGTAGACAAAGACAAAGACTCCATCATCGTCACGTAAACAAAGACAAAGACTCCATCATCGTCACGTAAACAAAGACAAAGACGCCATCATCGTCACGTAAAGAAAGACGCCATCATCGTCACGTAAACAAAGACAAAGACGCCATCATCGTCACGTAAACAAAGACAAAGACGCCATCATCGTCACGTAAACAAAGACAAAGACGCCATCATCGTCACGTCAACAAAGACGCCATCATCGTCACGTAAACAAAGACGCCATCATCGTCACGTAAACAAAGACGCCATCATCGTCACGTAGACAAAGACAAAGACTCCATCATCGTCACGTAAACAAAGACAAAGACTCCATCATCGTCACGTAAACAAAGACGCCATCATCGTCACGTAGATAAAGACAAAGGCTCCATCATCGTCACGTAAACAAAGACAAAGACGCCATCATCGTCACGTAAACAAAGACAAAGACACCATCATCGTCACGTAGACAAAGACGCCATCATCGTCACGTAGACAAAGACAAAGACACCATCATCATCACGTAAAGAAAGACTCCATCATCGTCACGTAAACAAAGACGCCATCATCGTCACGTAGACAAAGACTCCATCATCGTCCCGTAAACAAAGACAAAGGCTCCATCATCGTCACGTAAACAAAGACTCCATCATCGTCACGTAAACAAAGACGCCATCATCGTCACGTAAACAAAGACGCCATCATCGTCACGTAAACAAAGACGCCATCATCGTCACGTAAACAAAGACAAAGACTCCATCATCGTCACGTAAACAAAGACAAAGACGCCATCATCGTCACGTAAACAAAGACGCCATCATCGTCACGTAGACAAAGACAAAGACGCCATCATCGTCACGTAAACAAAGACAAAGACTCCATCATCGTCACGTAGACAAAGACAAAGACGCCATCATCGTCATGTAAACAAAGACGCCATCATCGTCACGTAAACAAAGACAAAGGCTCCATCATCGTCACGTAAACAAAGACGCCATCATCGTCACGTAGACAAAGACGCCATCATCGTCACGTCAACAAAGACAAAGACACCATCATCGTCACGTAAACAAAGACAAAGACTCCATCATCGTCACGTAAACAAAGACAAAGACGCCATCATCGTCACGTAAACAAAGACGCCATCATCGTCACGTAGACAAAGACAAAGACTCCATCATCGTCACGTAAACAAAGACAAAGACTCCATCATCGTCACGTAAACAAAGACAAAGACGCCATCATCGTCACGTAAACAAAGACGCCATCATCGTCACGTAAACAAAGACAAAGACGCCATCATCGTCACGTAAACAAAGACAAAGACGCCATCATCGTCACGTAAACAAAGACAAAGACGCCATCATCGTCACGTCAACAAAGACGCCATCATCGTCACGTAAACAAAGACGCCATCATCGTCACGTAAACAAAGACGCCATCATCGTCACGTAGACAAAGACAAAGACTCCATCATCGTCACGTAAACAAAGACAAAGACTCCATCATCGTCACGTAAACAAAGACGCCATCATCGTCACGTAGATAAAGACAAAGGCTCCATCATCGTCACGTAAACAAAGACGCCATCATCGTCACGTAAACAAAGACAAAGGCTCCATCATCGTCATGTAAACAAAGACATTATGAGACCTCCTTTGCCAGTAACAAGATATAGGAATAGGTTTTACCCTTTTAACTGGCACAAAAACTGACACCTTTATTCAAGGCATCGTGTTTGCAATAACCACAACACAAGCAGTCAAAAGGCAAACAAAAAAGACAACTCTGATAATAATATTATGCACTGTCCTTGAATTTGATTGGTCCACACCCGAGACAGCTTTTCTTCATGATAAGTCCGCCAAACAAATGCTATTTTTTATGCTAATTCCTTTGTCAAGGCACCTCAATCCCTCTCACACAGCTTAAAGGTCGTAGTCTGAGCTTGCCTCTGTTTCACTCCAGCGCAGTCTTCGAGACAGGCTGGTCCCTTCACCTGATGAAGGCCGCTTGTGTTGTGGCCGAAACGTCGTTGATTTTCGTTGTTTTATTTTTTTACCTACGTGACCTTACCGAATAGAACCAAAGAGTATTATCAGAGTTGTCTTTTTTGTTTGCATTTTGACTGCTTGTGTTGTGGTTATTGCAAACATGATGCCTTGAATGAAAGTGTCAGTTTTTGTGCCAGTTAAAAGGGTAAAACCTATTCCTAAAGACAGTGACGCGCCCGCTAGTAGCAAGAAGCAGCAGCAGCAGCAGCAGCACCTACGAAGGCCGGCACGGCACACGAGGGGGTGGGTGGGCCAGGGTGCCAGCAGAGCTACGAGCTGCCAGCAGGCTGCCGCTACCGCCGCTACCGCCGCTACCGCCGCTACCGCCGCTACCGCCGCAGGACCGAACGCAAAGAGCTTCGCGGCTCATCGGACTTCTCCGCTGTTGAACAAACATTTAGATTGTGTAACGCGGAGGAGACGCCCCGCCCCCCCCCCCCCCCACCCGCTCCTACCTCGTGCAGCGAGCGCCCGACGACGACGACGGCGCCGGCGCCCCCGGCGCCGCCGCCGCCGCCGCTGGGGGCTCCGTGCGCCTTGCGCACCACGTGCAGGAAGGCCGCCTTGCCGGCGCGCTCCCGCTGGCGCGCGCACAGCGCCTCCATGCGCCGCTTCTGCGCCTCGATGGCCCGCCGCTTCTCCTCCAGCCGCAGGCGCAGCTGCACCATCTCCGCCGCCAGCCGGCCCTCGCGCTGGGCGCGCCGGGCGTCCGACGGCGACGCCGGCGCCGCCGCCGGGCGCCCGCCGCCCTCCTCCGCCTCCGCCGCCTCCGCCGCCTCCGCCGCCTCCGCCGCCTCCGCCGCCTCCTCCTCCTCGTCGCGTTCCTCGTAGGCGCGGGGCCACGCCGCGGACGACGACGCCGGGGGCGGCGCGGCCACGCTCTCGGAGCCCTCGGGCGTCGTCCGCTGGGAGCTGCTGCTGCTGCTGGCGCGGCGCGGGAACGTGCCGCCGCCGCCGCCGCCGCCGGCGCCGGCGCCGGCGCCGGCCTCCGCGCTGTTGAAGCGCCGCAGCTTGCGCTCGGCGAAGCTGGTGAGGCGGGCGGACGACGTGTTGCTGTCGCCCGTCGCGCTGCTCGGCGCCGGGCTGGCGCTGGGGCTGGCGCTGAGGCTCCTGGGGCTCCTGGGGCTGGCGCCGGCGGAGCCGCGGGCGACGCGCGGCTCCTCCTTGCCCGGGCACTCCTTCACCGTGAGCTCCTCGCCCAGCTTGCTCGACTCCTCGGGGTCCGAGAGGCTGTCCTCTGCTCGCACGCACGGCGGAGGGGCGGGCGCCAGCGTTAGGGCGGCGGCGCCGAGAGCTCCGCAGCGCCGAGCGCAACCTGGCCGGTCGCGGTGAACGGCGCCGGTTGATTGGCCGGACGGTGATTAACTGTACCCCCCCCCACCACCACCCTCCCACCCCCCCACCGCCTCACCCCTGACGGAGGCGACGTCCCCGTGGCTGCCGCCAGTGCCGTCCGGCGAGGGCTCCCGGCGCGCCCCCTTGCCCCGCTCGCCGCCGCCGGCGTCGCGGTCGCCGCGGCGCGACGCCGGCGGCGAGTGCAGGAAGAAGCCGACCTCGGGCGGCGGCGGCGGCGGCGGCGGCGCCGCCTTGGCCGTGCCGGGCCTCCTGGCGACGCCGCCGCCGCCGCCGCCGCCGCATCCGCGCGCCGGCGTTTCGCCCGACTCCTCCGCCTTGCCGACCGCGGCGGCGCGCTCCTTGGCTGGCCGGGTGACGGCGGGGATGAGGGGTTCCCGCATGGGCGGCGGGCCCGCGGCCACGGCCGCGGCCGCGGCGGCGCGGTGGTGCGCCGGTGAGCGCCCGTAGCGCCGGAAGACGCCGGCGTCGCCCGAGCCGACGATGGCGGCGAGTTCGGCGTCGTCGCCCGCGTCGTCGCCGCCGCCGCCGCCGCCGTCTTCGTCGTCGTCGTCGTCGTCGTCGTCGTAGTCTTCGTCGCGCGGCTCCATCTGCACACGCGCCAGCAGCGACGAGCGCGTCGGCAGACCTGGAGGGAGGAGAGGGAGGGAGGGAGGAAGGGAGTGTGAAGGCACCAGCCGGACATCCACAACAACCCCCCAACATCAACCACAACAAAACGTCCACAACCACCACCCCCCAACAACAACCAGAACAAAACGTCCACAACCACCACCCCCAACAACAACCACAACAAAACGTCCACAACCACCACCCCCAACAACAACCACAACAAAACGTCCACAACCACCACCCCCAACAACAACCAGAACAACACATCCACAACCACCACCACCCCAAACAACAACCAGAACAAAACGTCCACAACCACCACCCCCCAACAACAACCACAACAAAACGTCCACAACCACCACCCCCAACAACAACCAGAACAACACAATCACAACCACCACAATCCCCAACAACAACCAGAACAACACAATCACAACCACCACAACTGACCAACAACAACCACCACCACCACCACAACAAGACATCCAAAACGACCACAACAACAACATCCACAACCACCACCCCCAACAACAAGCAGAACAACACAATCACAACCACCACAACCCCCAACAACAACCAGAACAACACATCCACAACCACCACAACCACCAACGACAACCAGAACAACACAATCACAACCACCACAACCCCCAACAACAACCAGAACAACACATCCACAACCGCCACAACCCCCAACAACAACCAGAACAACACAATCACAACCACCACAACCCCCAACAACAACCAGAACAACACATCCACAACCACCACCACCCCCAACAACAACCAGAACAACACATCCACAACCACCGCCACCCCCAACAACAACCAGAACACCACATCCACAACCGCCACCACCCCCAACAACAACCAGAACAACACAATCACAACCACCACCACCACCCCCAACAACAACCACAACAACACATCCACAACCACCACAACCACCAACGACAAACCAGAACAACACATCCACAACCACCACCACCCCCAACAACAACCAGAACAACACATCCACAACCACCACAACCACCAACGACAAACCAGAACAACACATCCACAACCGCCACAACCCCCAACAACAACCAGAACACCACATCCACAACCGCCACAACCCCCAACAACAACCAGAACAACACATCCACAACCACCACAACCACCAACGACAAACCAGAACAACACAATCACAACCACCACAACCGACCAACAACAACCACCACCACCACAACAAGACATCCAAAACGAGACCACAACAACAACATCCACAACCACCACAACCCCCCCCCCCCTCACCGACAACAACCGCAACAATCACGGGGGGGGGGGGGGAGGTGGGCGGTGGGGGCGGCTCAGCGCCGCGTGCCTACCGGCGGAGGGCGTGTGCCGGGCCGGTGCCGGGCCGAAGCTCTGCACCGGCGTTGCGGACGCCAGGCTGTCCCCGCTCACCGACCGCGCCAGCCCCAGCGAGTCGGCGTCCCCCTCGTCGCCGCCGCCAACGGTGCCGCAGGGCCCCGCCGGCCCCGCCGGCCCGGCGGCCACCGGCTGAGACAGGGGCCTGGTGGTGGTGATGGGGCGGGCGGGGGGGGGGGAGTGAAACCGAAGCGGGAATTTAAATACATTTATAATTCAAATGAACAAGAAATTGTTACATTTTGACTTTAGAACTTTCGCGACTGCAGGAATTCACATTCTTGGCTCTTTCGGGTTAAAGTCAGGTAGATAGAAAATAACATAAGAAGAATGAAATAAAATCGATGAAAAATAATAAATTGCCAATTTTATTCTTTTTATTAAAAACATTTTTCTTGGGTAAAATTTTAAATACGTTTTAAAAAAAAAATTTCATCTATTTTATTTTCTATTTCCGTGACTTTGCCGAAAGAACCGAGAATAAGAAATAACTAGCAGGCTAAGGGCCCCAACCAATCTCCTGCGTGGCTCTCTGTCACCACAAACGGCAGCAGCACAACCAAGTGACTCATCATCATATGGAGATTTACAGCAGCCACCAAATCATCTAAACGCGTATTTCTACAGACTCAGAGAGACTCATCGAGACCCATACTCATAGAAACCCATACTTATAGAGACCCATACTCAGAGACCCACAGAAACCCATAGAGACCCACACCCATCGAGAACCACTCAAAGAGACTCAAGCCCCATAGAGACCCATACCCACTCATCGAGATCCATAGAGACCCATATTCATGGAGACCCATACTAAAACTAAACTTTTTATTTTACCAGCTGTAAGGCTCCACTTAGCTGCTGTGTAGCGCTTTGTTCAGAAGCCCTGAACCTGGCCATCACAAATTAGAGCAGCTCTACCACGTGGCTTATCACCATTGTCATCATCATCATCATGTGGGAGTTTATAGCAGCCAAATACTCTAAATACGCGATGTAGATTCTAAATGTGGGAGGGGGGGTAAACCGGAGGACCTGGAGTAAAATCCACATGACCACGGGGAGAGAGACACGCAAAATCCAAATATACAGCAGCAGCAGCAGGCGTCAGAGTCGGGATCGAAACTACGACCTCCTGTAGACCAGGCGAGGTAGTTAACATCTCCTAGCCACCGTGCTGATGATGATGAGAGAGAGACGCAGACTCCAAATATACAGCAGCAGACATCGTCAGGAGATCGAACCCACGACCTCCTGCATACCAGGCGAGGTAGTTAACATCTCCTAGCCACCGTGATGATGATGATGATGAGAGAGACGCAGACTCCAAATCTACAGCAGCAGGCATCGTCAGGGTCAGGGATCGAACCCACGACCTCCTGCAGACCAGGCGAGGAAGTTAACACCTCCTGTACACCACGCAGCACACTTGAAACTGCGTCAAGCGTCTTCGTGACAAGATCCGGGAGTGCCGGAACAACAACAACAACAACGGCTCCGATTTCCCGGATCATTACGCCAAACTCCCCGGCATGAAACAGCACGGACAATACAGACGAGGCGGTACAAGTGAGACGAGAGAACGGGTTCCCGAATTGACTCGGGACGATTCAACTCACAGGATCGCCGAGCAGCACATTTGAAAGGACACACACGCACGCGGACAACAGCAACAACAACCGCCATTGGACACTAAGTGGCGGTGATGTCACCACGGCGTTTGTGCCAGGCGCACTTTGAGGCTATCAGGCTGGCAGGAGGTCACGGGACAGACCAAGGTGGTACCATGGGTTGACTGACTGAGCTGGCTGGCCGATGCGCCACCTGCGCCCCCAACTGAGCCGAACTGGCTGGGTTTTATCCGCCCGGCACTCCGCTCGTTGTTGTGAGCGTCGCTCCTCCGCCCTCTGCTGTCACTGAAAGGGCGGCCGCCTCCAACTGCCCAGTGGCAGCGTCCTTAATGAGGCTCCTCAACAAACACGCGAACACGCAATCACGTGCACACACACACACACGTGCACACACAAACGTGCACACAGGTACACACGTGCACACACACACAGGTGCACACACACACACATGCACACACACAGGTACACACACACGTGCACACACACAGGTGTACACACACACACAGGTGCACACACACAGGTGCACGCACACACACACACGTGCACACACACACACACACACGTGCACGCACACACACACACGTGCGCACACTCCCACCTCTGCCTCCTCTCGGGCCATGCGATGACGGAGCCGCGCTTCGGGGAGCCGTCCACACGCGTCAGGGAGTTGGAGCGGAACAGCGGGGGCACTGCTGTGGACACGGGGGGCACAGAGGGGCACGGACGTGCAGGTGCACGTGGGGGGACACGGGGGAGACAGAGGGGCACGGACGTGCAGGTGCACGTGGGGAGACACGGGGGGACACACACGGAGACACAGGGCAAAGGAAGCGGAGAGTCAAGGCACCCACGGGGGGAAGTGGAGAACGCCGAGCAATGAGGACACGGGAATGTGGCCGTTCCGCACGGGCCCGTACGTGAGGCAGTCCTCCACACACGCACACAAAGATCCCCCGCATAGCCTTCACAGACTGTAGGGGCAAGTGCTGTTAGCGAGCAGCACCTATGAAGGCCGGAACGGCACACGAGGTTGGTGGGTGGCCAGCAACCACGCCCGACCGCCTTTGTCTCCCCCAGTGGCGATGTTTACTACACACCGCTACACCAAGTACTAATTTCTGAGGCTGAGTCGACCGAGGGGAGGCCCGGGACCGGTTCAGATAATCGTCACCGGTGTTGGCCGCGAGCGGGAATCGAACCCGGGTCGCCGGGTTCGTAGAGCGGGGGGAGCCGTCGGAAGCGGTTCCTGGGTCTCCCTCTAGGTCGACTCGGCCTCAAATGAGCACCTTGGTTAGATGGCGCTAGCAAACACCGCGTCTGGGGGAGACAAAGGCGGGCCGGGCGTGGTGTACCGTGCCGGCACTTGATAGGTGCTGCTGCTGCTGCTGCTGCCGCTCGCTAGCAGCACTTGCCCCAACGGTCTGTTAAGGCTACAGGGGGGATCCCCCCCGTCTACCATGACTATGATTCATGCAGACACCAGCGCGTGTGCAGAGAGAGAATGATTTAACCCGTCCTGGGGACCGTCCCCCTAAGGTTTGCTCAGCCTCAAATGAGTACCTGGTGCGGCGTGCAAACAAAGGCGGCCGGGCGTGGTCCTGGCCGCCTTTGTCTTTGCTTGCGTACGCAATAATGATGATGATGGTGGTGGTGTGGGCGGTGGTTATTGTGTTTAGGATGATGGTGATGGTGATGATGGTGTAAATGACGATGGTGATTTGAACACGTGGCCTCTCGCGACCAATATCATCCACAACAGGGCGCAGTTGGGGTTAGATCGTGCCAACGCACCCCGTGTACGTCGTTACGCCCGCCAACAACCCCGACGCGGGCCAGTGAAACCCGGCTTAGAGGCCGCGTCACGTGACCAAAAACGTGCCGATTCGTTACGAGTGCGGCCGGCCGAGGTGGCGGCGACTCGAACGCCGACACACATCGCCGCCCCCCGGTGTGTGCGAGGCGAGGGCGGGTTACCGGGAGCGTCTCCCGTGGTGCCCTGCACGGGCAGCCTCTGCTGTCGCGGCCGGAGAGGCAGCAGCGGGTGGGACGGGCTGGGACCCGACGAGGCGCCGGCGCCGCCGCCGCCGCCGCCGCCGCCCTTGCTGAAGGTGCGACACACGAAGACAACGGCGGTGGTGGTGGTGGCGGTGGTGGTGGTGGCGGTGGTGGTGGTGGTGGTGGTGGCGGTGGTGGTGGTGGTGGTGGTGGTGGCGGTGGTGGCGGTGGTGGTGGTGCCGATGCGTCAACCATCGTCACCACGGCAAACTTGCGGCGATCGACCTCGCAGCAGCGGCGGCGGCGGCAACGGGAGCAACAGCACCACCAGGACCAGCACAACCAGCAGCACCACCAGCACCACCACCACCACCAGCAGCAGCCCCACCACCAGTAGTACCAGCCCCACCACCAGCACCAATACCAGCACAACCACCACCAGCAGCCCCACCAGCAGCCCCACCACCAGCACCACCACCAGCACCATCACCAGCACTACCACCACCACCAGCACTACCAGTACAACCACAAGCACCACCAACACCAGCAGTACCAGCAGTACCAGCACCACCAGCAGCACCACCAGTACCACCACCAGCACCACCACCAGCACCACCACCACCAACACCACCACCAACACCACCACTAACAGCACTACCAGTACAACCACAAGCACCACCAACACCAGCAGTACCAGCACCACCAGCAGCACCACCACTACCAGCACCAGCACCAACAGCACCACCACCAGCACCAGCACCACCAGCACCAGCACCACCAGCACCACCACTACCAGCACCAGCACCACCACTACCACTACCAGCACCACCACTACCAACACTACCACCACTACCACTACCAGCACCACCACTACCAACACTACCAATACCACCACAAGCACCACCAGCAGCACCACCACTACCAGCACCACCACAACCAGCACTACCAGTACCACCACCAGCACCACCACCAGCACCACCACCACCAGCACCACCACCACCAGCACCACCACCACCACCAGCACCACCAGCAGCCGCGACTTTTGGCGAACCGTCGAACAAGAGACGGTGGTGGGTCACCGCCATCACGCGGCGCTTTCGGGGCGCGCCAGCGCGGCCGTCGGGAACGCTCTTGGCCCTTCCGACCATGATGAGGCCGCGGCCGGGGTGGAGGGTGGGGGGGAGGGTGGGGGGGAGGGTGGGGGGTGGGGTGGGGGGTGGGGTGGGGGGTGGGGGGGAGGGTGGGGGGGTGGGGGGGAGGGTGGGGGGGAGGCTGGGGGGGGGGGCCAACACGCTGCCCTCCGAAATCGTCGTCCGGGATCGACGAAACGCGCGTCCCAACCTGATGTCGGGGTTGCTGTGGGAGATGTGGGCCGAGGCTCGGGGGCTGCTGGGAGCACGGAAGCTCCGCTTTGTGGCGTTAGAGATGGGCACGTGGGGACGCATCAGCTTGGGGGTTGTGCTCCTCGCTGGTGAAGGGGCGGAGGTGGGGGGGGCGGGACAGGGACCGGTTCACGACATCGCCAAGAAAACAAAACCGCTTCGCGTCGCCACCATCGCCACCATCGCCACCGTCGGCGGAATCGACGCCTTGAGACGCCGTCGAAATCGGCGCCAGCGGCTCCGTCGGCGGCACCGCCCGCGCCGCTAATGCCGCCGCCGCCGCCGCCGCCGTCGTCATCATCGCCACGCCACCGCCATCTCAATGAACGGCACCCATCGACTGCACCGTCCGCACCACTAACAACACCACCGTCATCATCATCGCCGCCATCGAACAGCAACATCAACACCACCGTCATCCGCACCAGTAACATCACTGTCATCATCACTGTCATCATCACTGTCATCATCACAACCGCAACCATCGCCACCATCGCAATGAACAAACGGCACCATCAACACCACCATCATCCACACCACTAACATCACTGTTGTCATCACCATCATCACCACCACCATCGCCACCATCGCCACCATCGCAATGAACGGCACCATCAACACCACCATCATCACCACCATCGCAATGAACAAACGGCACCATCAACACCACCATCATCCGCACCACTAACATCACTGTTGTCATCACCATCATCATCGCGACGAACAAACAGCACCATCAACACCACCGTCATCCGCACCACTAACATCACTGTTGTCATCACCATCATCATCACCACCATCACCACCGCCACCATCGCAATGAACAAACAGCACCTTCGACTGCACCATCCTCGCCACTGTCAGAATCAGACTATTTACTTTTTACTGGTAAAATAAAAAGTTCAGTGATAAGTGTGAGCCTCGATGAGTATGGGTCCCTGTGGCTCTATGGGTGTCTACGAGTCTGTAGAATCATGCGTTTGGGAGAATTTGACTGCTATAAATTTCCACGCGATGACGATGATGATGACAATGCTGATAAGCCACTTCTGTATAGCTAAGTTTGGACCCTTACCTGGTCAAATAAAAAGTTAGTTACATTTGGAGTTTGCGTGTTTCTCTCCCCGTGGTCGCGTGGATTTATTATTTTTTCCTTCAGAGCCCTTCCGGTGTTTCACTCCCACACGTAGAATCGACGTCATGAGCTCAGATTATTTTTCGCCGATGTAAATTTGCAAGTGACGATGACCAAGCCCACTTGCTTTAGCTGCTGTCATTTTTATGATGGCCCAAGTCGCTTCTTACAAAAAGCTACACAGTCGCTCAGTGGGGGGCCCTTACCTGGTAAAGTAAACATGGAAATATCTGATTCTGATCGTGGAGAACCGAGGACAGCTCAGCATCAGAGGGGATGCGCGTGTGAGAGCGAGATGGGAGAGTGAGATGGAAGAGAGAGTTGGGAGAGAGAGATGGGAGAGTGAGATGGGAGAGAGGAGATGGGAGAGAGATGGGAGAGAGAGATGGGAGAGAGAGATGGGAGAGAGAGATGGGAGAGTGAGATGAGAGAGTGAGATGAGAGAGTGAGATGGGAGAGTGAGATGGGAGAGTGAGATGGGAGAGTGAGATGGGAGAGAGAGAGATGGGAGAGAGAGAGAGATGGGAGAGAGAGAGAGATGGGAGAGAGAGAGAGATGGGGAGAGAGAGAGATGGAGAGAGATGGGAGAGAGAGAGATGGGAGAGAGAGAGATGGGAGAGAGAGATGGGAGAGAGAGATGGGAGAGAGAGATGGGAGAGATGGGAGAGAGAGATGGGAGAGAGAGATGGGAGAGTGAGATGGGAGAGAGAGATGGGAGAGAGAGGTGGGAGAGAGAGGTGGGAGAGTGAGATGGGAGAGAGAGATGGGAGATAGAGATGGGAGAGAGAGATGGGAGAGAGGAGATGGGAGAGAGAGATGGGAGAGAGAGATGGGAGAGTGAGATGAGAGAGAGAGATGGGAGAGAGAGATGGGAGAGAGGAGATGGGAGAGAGAGATGGGAGAGAGAGATGGGAGAGAGAGATGGGAGAGTGAGATGGGAGAGAGAGATGGGAGAGTGAGATGGGAGATGGAGAGTGAGATGAGAGAGGGAGATGGGAGATGGGAGAGCGAGATGAGAGAGGGAGATGAGAGAGAAAGCTGGGAGAGTGAGATGGGAGAGTGAGATGGGAGATGGGAGAGTGAGATGGGAGAGTGAGATGGGAGAGTGAGATGAGAGAGGGAGATGAGAGAGAAAGCTGTCAGAGTGAAATGGGAGAGTGAGATGGGAGAGATGGGAGAGAGAGATGGGAGAGAGAGATGGGAGAGAAAGATGGGAGAGAGAGATGGGAGAGTGAGAGGGGAGAGTGAGATGAGAGAGAGAGAGAGATGGGAGAGAGATGGGAGAGAGAGATGAGAGAGAGATGGGAGAGAGAGATGGGAGAATGAGATGGGAGATAGAGAGATGGGGGAGAGAGAGATGGGAGAGAGAGATGGGAGGGAGAGATGGGAGAGATGGGAGAGAGAGAGAGAGATGAGAGATGGGAGAGTGAGATGGGAGAGAGAGATGGGAGAGAGAGATGGGAGAGAGAGATGGGAGAGAGAGATGGGAGAGAAAGATGGGAGAGAGAGATGGGAGAGAGAGATGGGAGAGTGAGATGGGAGAGAGAGATGGGAGAGAGAGATGGGAGAGATGGGAGAGCGAGATGGGAGAGTGAGATGGGAGAGAGAGATGGGAGAGAGAGATGGGAGAGTGAGATGGGAGAGAGGGAGATGGGAGAGAGAGATGAGAGATGGGAGAGAGATAGGAGAGAGAGATGGGAGAGTGAGATGGGAGAGTGAGATGGGAGAGAGAGATGGGAGAGAGAGAGAGAGATGGGAGAGAGAGAGAGAGAGATGGGAGAGTGAGATGGGAGAGAGAGATGGGAGAGTGAGATGGGAGAGAGAGATGGGAGAGTGAGATGGGAGAGAGAGATGGGAGAGTGAGATGGAGATGGGAGAGTGAGATGGAGATGGAGATGGGAGAGAGAGATGGGAGAGAGAGATGGAAGAGAGAGATGGGAGAGTGAGATGGGAGAGTGAGATGGGAGAGAGAGATGGGAGAGTGAGATGGGAGAGAGAGATGGGAGAGAGAGAGATGGGAGAGTGAGATGGAGATGGGAGAGAGAGATGGGGGAGTGAGATGGGAGAGGGAGATGGGAGATGGGAGAGTGAGATGAGAGAGGGAGATGAGAGAGAAAGCTGGGAGAGTGAGACGGGAGAGCGAGATGGGAGATGGGAGAGTGAGATGGGAGAGTGAGATGAGAGAGGGAGATGAGAGAGAAAGCTGGGAGAGTGAAATGGGAGAGTGAAATGGGAGAGTGAGATGGGAGAGAGAGATGGGAGAGAAAGATGGGAGAGAGAGATGGGAGAGGAGAGTGAGATGAGAGAGAGAGAGAGAGATGGGAGAGAGAGATGGGAGAGAGAGATGAGAGAGAGATGGGAGAGAGAGATGGGAGAGTGAGATGGAAGATAGAGAGATGGGGGAGAGAGAGATGGGAGAGAGAGATGGGAGGGAGAGATGGGAGAGAGAGAGAGAGAGATGAGAGATGGGAGAGTGAGAGAGAGATGCGAGATGGGAGAGTGAGATGGGAGAGAGAGATGGGAGAGAGAGATGGGAGAGAAAGATGGGAGAGAGAGATGGGAGAGTGAGATGGGAGAGAGAGATGGGAGAAAGAGATGGGAAAGAGAGATGGGAGAGATGGGAGAGCGAGATGGGAGAGTGAGATGGGAGAGAGAGATGGGAGAGAGAGATGGGAGAGTGAGATGGGAGAGAGAGATGGGAGAGTGAGATGGGAGAGCGAGATGGGAGAGAGGGAGATGGGAGAGAGAGATGAGAGATGGGAGAGAGAGATAGGAGAGAGAGATGGGAGAGTGAGATGGGAGAGAGAGATGGGAGAGAGAGAGAGACGGAAGAGTGAGATGGGAGAGAGAGATGGGAGAGAGAGATGGGAGAGTGAGATGGGAGAGAGAGATGGGAGAGTGAGATGGAGATGGGAGAGAGAGATGGAGATGGGAGAGAGAGATGGGAGAGAGAGATGGAAGAGAGAGATGGGAGAGAGAGAGATGGGAGAGTGAGATGGGAGAGTGAGATGGGAGAGAGAGATGGGAGAGTGAGATGGGAGAGAGAGATGGGAGAGCGAGAGAGATGGGAGAGAGAGATGGGGGAGTGAGATGGGAGAGAGAGATGGGAGAGAGAGTTGGGAGAGAGAGATGGGAGAGTGAGATGGGAGAGGGAGATGGGAGAGAGAGATGGGAGAGAGAGATGGGAGAGAGAGAGAGACGGAAGAGTGAGATGGGAGAGAGAGATGGGAGAGAGAGATGGGAGAGTGAGATGGGAGAGAGAGATGGGAGAGTGAGATGGAGATGGGAGAGAGAGATGGAGATGGGAGAGAGAGATGGGAGAGAGAGATGGAAGAGAGAGATGGGAGAGAGAGATGGGAGAGTGAGATGGGAGAGTGAGATGGGAGAGAGAGATGGGAGAGTGAGATGGGAGAGAGAGATGGGAGAGCGAGAGAGATGGGAGAGAGAGATGGGGGAGTGAGATGGGAGAGAGAGATGGGAGAGAGAGTTGGGAGAGAGAGATGGGAGAGTGAGATGGGAGAGGGAGATGGGAGAGAGAGATGGGAGAGAGAGATGGGAGAGTGAGATGGGAGAGAGAGATGGGAGAGTGAGATGGGAGATGGGAGAGAGAGACGGGAGAGAGAGACGGGAGAGTGAGACGGGAGAGTGAGACGAGAGAGAGAGACGTGAGAGAGAGACGTGAGAGAGAGACGGGAGAGAGAGATGGGAGAGAGAGTTGGGAGAGAGAGATGGGAGAGAGAGAGATGGGAGAGTGAGATGGGAGAGTGAGATGGGAGAGTGGAGATGGGAGAGAGAGATGGGAGAGAGAGATGGGAGAGAGAGATGGGAGAGAGAGATGGGAGAGTGAGATGAGAGAGGGAGATGAGAGAGAGAGAGATGGGAGATTGGAGATGGGAGAGTGGAGATGGGAGAGAGAGATGGGAGAGAGAGATGGGAGAGTGAGATGGGAGAGAGAGATGGGAGAGTGGAGATGGGAGTGAGAGATGGGAGAGAGAGATGGGAGAGAGAGATGGGAGAGTGAGATGGGAGAGAGAGATGGGAGAGTGGAGATGGGAGAGAGAGACGGGAGAGTCAGATGGGAGAGTGAGATGAAAGAGATGGGAGAGAGAGATGGGAGAGAGAGATGGGAGATGGGAGAGTGAGATGGGAAAGATGGGAGAGTGAGAGGGGAGAGTGAGATGAGAGAGGGGAGAGTGAGATAGGAGAGTGAGATGGGACAGAGAGATGAGAGAGTGAGATGAAAGAGAGAGATGGGAGAGAGAGATGGGACAGAGAGATGGGAGATGGGAGAGTGAGATGGGAAAGATGGGAGAGAGAGAGAGGGGAGAGTGAGACGGGAGAGCGAGAGATGAGAGAGTGAGATGTGAGAGAGAGATGGGAAAGATGGGAGAGAGAGAGAGGGGAGAGTGAGACGGGAGAGCGAGATGAGAGCGGCGTGGTTGTGGTTGTGAACGAGGGAGGGGATGGCGCTGAGCGACGTGGTGCGGTGCACTACCGTCGGTGGGCAGTGGAGGTGCAACTCGTGGCTGCACAAAGTCCGGCTGCACCACCTCAACCCACCAGAAGAGCTCGGCCACCAGCACCATCACGTTGTGCTGCACAAGCGCGCACACACACACACACACGCGCAAAGACAAAGATCCCCCGTGAAGCCTTGACAGACTGCAGGGGCAAGTGCTGTCAGCGAGCAGCTACGGCGCACGAGGGGGCGGGTGGCCAGCACCACGCCAGGCCGCCTTTGTCTCCCCCAGTGGCGATGTTCGCTGTACACGGCATCAGGTACTCATTTGAGGCCGAGTCGACCTAGGGCAGGCCCAGGACAGGTTCAGATAATCGTCACCGGTGTTGGCCGTGAGCAGGAATCGAACCCGAGTCGCCGGATTGGAAGCGCAGCGTAGCGCTCACCGCTGCACTACCGCTCCCCCACCACACACACACACAAAGATAAAGATCCCCCATATAGCCTTAACAGAGTGTAGGGGCAAGTGCTGTTAGCGAGCACCTATGAAGGCCGGAACGGTACACGAGGGGGTGGGTGGCCAGCACCACGCCTTTGTCTCCCTAGTGGCAATGTTTACACACCGCACCAGGTACTCATTTGAGGCTGAGTCGACCTAGGGGAGGCCCGGGACCGGTTCAGATAATCGTCACTGGTGTTGGCCGTGAGCGGGAATCGAACCCGGGTCGCCAGGTTCATAGCGCAGCGTAGCGCTATCCGCTACACTACCGCTCCCCATACACACACACACACACACGCACGCACACACACGCGCACACGCGCACACACGCGCACGCACAGGCAACACACCATCACTGGCTGCGCCTATACACAAAGACAAAAAGGTTACAAGTATAGCACCAACGATTGGCGCAGTTGGCTACGTACGGTGCGAAAGAAGAAGTTCAACTTACGTACGTTCTACACCACACACAACACTATACACTACAATACACTACGCGCGACACTACACGTCAATACACCCACACGCTACACCACTACACAATTCACTACTATATAGGGACTATTCTACTTACGGACGAGTTACGTTCCACAGTTCCGTTCGTAAGTCCAACTTTACTCCTATCAATTCAAAACGTGTTGTACGGCGTGTACACTAAACAGGGGGAATGGCTTTAAAAGTTGCAAATTCTCCTGCAGATGAAGATGCACTGGTTCTTCACGTTCTGTAGATGTAGATGCTACTGGTTCTTCATGTTTTACAGATGTAGATGCCACTGGTTCTTCACGTTCTGCAGATGTAGATGCCACTGGTTCTTCACGTTCTGCAGATGTAGATGCCACTGGTTCTTCACGTTCTGCAGATGTAGATGCCACTGGTTCTTCACGTTCTGCAGATGTAGATGCCACTGGTTCTTCACGTTCTGCAGATGTAGATGCCACTGGTTCTTCACGTTCTGCAGATGTAGATGCCACTGGTTCTTCACGTTCTGCAGATGTAGATGCCACTGGTTCTTCATGCTCTGCAGATGTAGATGCCACTAATTCTTCACGTTCTGCAGATGTAGATGCCACTGGTTCTTCACGTTCGGGAGATGTAGAGGTCACTGGTTCTTCACGTTCTGCAGATGTAGATACCACTGGTTCTTCATGTTATGTAGATGTAGATGCACTGGTTCTTCACGTTCTGCAGATGTAGATGCCATTGGTTCTTCACGTTCTGCAAATGTAGATGCCACCGGTTCTTCAGATTCTGCAGATGTAGATGCCACTGGTTCTTCACGTTCTGCAGATGTAGATGCCACTGGTTCTTCACGTTCTGCAGATGTAGATGCCACTGGTTCTTCACATTCTGTAGATGTAGAGGTCACTGGTTCCTCACGTTCTGCAGATGTAGATGCCACTGGTTCTTCACGTTCTGCAGATGTAGATGCCACTGGTTCTTCACGTTCTGCAGATGTAGATGCCACTGGTTCTTCACGCTCTGCAGATGTAGATGCCACTAATTCTTCACGTTCTGCAGATGTAGATGCCACTGGTTCTTCACGTTCGGGCGATGTAGAGGTCACTGGTTCTTCATGTTCTGCAGATGTAGATGCCACTGGTTCTTCACGTTCTGCAGATGTAGATGCCACTGGGTCTTCACGTTCTGCGGAAGTAGATGCCACTGGTTATTCACGTTCTGCGGATGTAGATGCCACTGGTTCTTCACGTTCTGCGGATGTTGATGCCAATGGTTCTTCACGTTCTGCAGATGTAGATGCCACTGGTTCTTCACGTTCTGCAGATGTAGATGCCAGTGGTTCTTCACGTCCTGCAGATGTAGATGCCACTGGTTCTTCACGTTCTGCAGATGTAGATGCCACTGGTTCTTCACGTTCTGCAGATGTAGATGCACTGGTTCTTCATGTTCTGCAGATGTAGATGCCACTGGTTCTTCACGTTCTGCAGATGTAGATGCCATTAGTTCTTCACGTTCTGCAGATGTAGATGCCACTGGTTCTTCACGTTCTGCAGATGTAGATGCCACTGGTTCTTCACGTTTTGTAGATGTAGATGCCACTGGGTCTTCACGTTCTGCGGATGTAGATGCCACTGGTTATTCACGTTCTGCGGATGTAGATGCCACTGGTTCTTCACGTTCGGGAGATGTAGAGGTCACTGGTTCTTCACGTTCTGCAGATGTAGATGCCACTGGTTCTTCACGTTCTGCAGATGTAGATGCCACTGGGTCTTCACGTTCTGCGGATGTAGATGCCACTGGTTATTCACGTTCTGCGGATGTAGATGCCACTGGTTCTTCACGTTCTGCGGATGTTGATCCCAATGGTTCTTCACGTTCTGCAGATGTAGATGCCACTGGTTCTTCACGTTCTGCAGATGTAGATGCCAGTGGTTCTTCACGTCCTGCAGATGTAGATGCCACTGGTTCTTCACGTTCTGCAGATGTAGATGCCACTGGTTCTTCACGTTCTGCAGATGTAGATGCCACTGGTTCTTCATGTTCTGCAGATGTAGATGCCACTGGTTCTTCACGTTCTGCAGATGTAGATGCCACTAGTTCTTCATGTTCTGCAGATGTAGATGCCACTGGTTCTTCACGTTCTGCAGATGTAGATGCCACTGGTTCTTCACGTTCTGTAGATGTAGATGCCACTGCTTCTTCACGTTCTACAAATCTAGATGCCACTGGTTCTTCACGTTCTGTAGATGTTGAGGTCACTGGTTCTTCACGTTCTGCAGATGTAGATGTCACTGGGTCTTTACGTTCTGCAGATGTAGATGCCACTGGTTCTTCACGTTCTGCAGATATAGATGCCACTGGTTCTTCACGTTCTGTAGATGTAGATGCCACTGGTTCTTCACGTTCTGCAGATGTAGATGCCACTGGTTCTTCGCATCCTGAAGATGTAGATGCCACTGGTTCTTCACGTTCTGCAGATGTAGATGCCACTGGTTCTTCACGTTCTGCAGATGTAGATGCCACTGGTTCTTCACGTTCTGTAGATGTTGAGGTCACTGGTTCTTCACGTTCTGCAGATGTAGATGCCACTAGTTCTTCACGTTCTGCAGATGTAGATGCCACTGGTTCTTCACGTTCTACAAATCTAGATGCCACTGGTTCTTCACGTTCTGTAGATGTAGATGCCACTGGTTCTTCACGTTCTGCAGATGTAGATGCCACTGGGTCTTTACGTTCTGCAGATGTAGATGCCACTGGTTCTTCACGTTCTGCAGATATAGATGCCACTGGTTCTTCACGTTCTGTAGATGTAGATGCCACTGGTTCTTCACGTTCTGCAGATGTAGATGCCACTGGTTCTTCGCATCCTGCAGATGTAGATGCCACTGGTTCTTCACGTTCTGCAGATGTAGATGCCACTGGTTCTTCACGTTCTGCAGATGTAGATGCCACTGGTTCTTCACGTTCTGTAGATGTAGATGCAACTGGTTCTTCACATTCTGCAGATGTAGATGCCACTAGTTCTTCACGTTCTGCAGATGTAGATGCCACTGGTTCTTCACATTCTGCAGATGTAGATGCCACTGGTTCTTCACGTTCTGTAGATGTAGATGCAACTGGTTCTTCACATTCTGCAGATGTAGATGCCACTAGTTCTTCACGTTCTGTAGATGTAGATGCCACTGGTTCTTCACGTTCTGCAGATGTAGATGCCACTGGTTCTTCACGTTCTGCAGATGTAGATGCCACTGGTTCTTCACCTTTTGCAGATGTAGATGCCACTGGTTCTTCACGTTCTGTAGATGTAGAGGTCACTGGTTCTTCACGTTCTGCAGATGTAGATGCCACTGGTTCTTCGCGTCCTGCAGATGTAGATGCCACCACCGCCATCTATTGCGTGACGGTTGAACTTACGACTCTCAGTCCAAACAAATGCTCGTAAGTAGAGGAGTCCTGCACACTACAGCGTACACCACATTACTATACGCTAGACCACGATACTAATTAGAAAACAAATTCTTGAAAACTGCCGCCCACGTTTAGTTCGTCGTCCTTCCCCGCAACTTCCGATTAGCGCGGGTTGGCCGCGTACAGTGCGAAAGAAGACGTTCAACATACGCGCATTCTACGACCGTTCACTGCAAGCTGCACCGCACCCCACAATGCACTGCACCGCGCACTGCCACGCGGGGCAGGCTGTGGCGGCGCAGAGGGCACCTTGAGGCAGGCGGGCGCGTACAGCACGTCCTCCAGGGTGAGGTAGAAGCAGTGGCCCAGGTGCACCATTGCCAGGGCCCGCACGGCGCTCAGGTTGTGCAGGCTGTCGGCCACGGACATCGTCTCCCGCAGGTACGCGTCTGAGCCAACGGCAAGAGCGTCGCGCGTCAGCCACCCACCCACCGCCCCCCCCCCGCCACCGTTCCTCCTTCCACGTGCCCACCGGCGTTGTGATGGGCACCGACAAATACCCGCTGCACCCCACCCCCCACCGCCGCTCTGGTGTGGCCTACACGGGATGTTGGGGCTCGTGGCTGTTAGCGGGAGCGTCTGTTAACAAGAGGCCCACGCGCGGCCCACTAGAGGTGCATGCACGCACGCCATCCGCCCCGCGTAGCCTTGACAGACCGTCGGGGGGCAAGTGCCGTGAAGCGAGCGGCAACGCCGGAGGCCGGCGCTGTGGCGCAATGAGGGGGGTGGGTGGCCAGCACCACAAAGGCAAAGGCTCCCCGTATAACCCTAACCAGACTGACAGACCGTCGGGGCAAGTGCTGTCAGTGAACGGCACCGATGAAGGCCGGCACTGTGGTGGGGGTGGGGTGGCCAGCACCACGGGGGCAAATACTCGGAACGCGTAACGTTGATCGTAAATGTGGCAGGGAAAAACCGGAGAAGAATCCACGCGACCACGCGGACAGAGAGAGAGACAGAGAGACGCGCAAACTGCAAATATACAGCAGGCATCGGGGGTCGGGATCATAAACCACGACCACCTGCGTACCGGACGCGGTAGTTAACATCTCGCAACTGTGATCATGAGCGAGAGAGACAGAGAGAGAGAAAGCGTGCAAACTCAATATATACAGCAGCAGGCATCGCCAGGGTCGGGTTCGAACCCACGACCTCCCGCATACCGGAGCAAAGGTAATTAACGTTTCCTCGGCCACCGTTTCAACGCGCACAACCTTGCAAGTGCAGCAGGGAGGGGCAGTAGTAGTGCAGCAGGCCCGCCAGCGCGGCACCGTCGGACAGCCCGGCCAGCAGCGACTCCAGCTGCGGGAAGAACGGCAGCTGGCGCGGCCCGTCGCGTCGGTAGCGCACCTGCTGGGCACGCGCACACACACACACGCACGCACACACACACACACGCACGCACACGCACGCACACACGCACGCACGCACGCAAGCACGTCAGCGATCGGCGCACGCGACAACTCGAGGGCCGTTGAACACGCACGCAGCGACAGCAACCGCCGTTCGCCACTAAGTGGCGGTGACGTCGCCGTGGCGCTTGTGCCCGGCCTACACGCGCACGGCGCCAAAAACACGTTGACGTGGTGAAAGTGGGGGGGGGGGGTGGGGGGTGGGGTAAGAGGAGCCGGGCAAGCGCAGCAGCAGCAGCAGCAGCAGCACCAGCGTGTGGGGGCGAAACACAGATGCCGAGGGAGTGAGTGAAAAGGGGATTTCCAAAACCGCTGCCGCTAGTCCCTGACCGCACAAACCACCCCCCCCCGCCACCCCGTGCCACCAGTCAGTGGAACTCGCCCCGCGGCGAGCAGCGCTTGGTCGTGCCGCGCCGCGCCGACCGTGCCGGCCGTGCCGGCCGTGTCGTGCCGTGCCGCACGACCGCCCCGGCGGAGTTCGCGCGCCCAGGTGGAGTTTACCGAGCGAGCGAGCGAGGGGGCGAGCGAGCGAGGGGGCGAGGGCTGTGATTCGACGGGGATGCGCAGTGGGAGGTAGCGCGGGGACGGCCATCGCTGGGCTTGGACCCTGCTCATGGCGGGGGTTTCGCTGGCGGGGGTTTCGCTGGCGGGGGTTTCCGCTGGCGGGGGTTTTCGCTGGCGGGGGTTTCGCTGGCGGGGGTTTCGCTGGCGAGGGTTTCGCTGGCGGGGGTTTCGCTGGCGGGGGTTTCGCTGGCGGGGGTTTCGCTGGCGGGGGTTTCGCTGGCGGGGGTTTCGCTGGCGTGTGCGCAAGCTGTTGACGCGTCTCGCGCGTGTGCACGCGTGTCCACGAGTCTCCGTGCGCACGCGTGTCCACGTGTCTGTGTGTGCACGCGTGCCCGTGTGTGTCTGTGTGTCTGTGTGTCCGCGTGTCTGTGTGTGCCCGTGTGTGCCCGCGTGTGCCTGCATGTGTCTGTGTGTGTCTGGCTTTCGCCCGCATCGGCCCCGGGACCGCCGGACAATGTTGGAGGCCGCCGGATAATTGACGATCAGACTGTAATCCTGACAATCGGATTCACTGAGTGGGAGGGCTCCTTTCATCCCCTGGCAGTGGCCACAGGGAAGGCAACTGCTGGGCTGCACCTTTCTCCCTTTGGCGATAGGAAATGATGTAACAACAATCACGAATGTGGGGGCAGGAATTGGGGCGAGAAATGGGGCAAGGAATTGAGGCATGAATTTGGGGCAGGAATTTGGGGTCAGGAATTTGGGGTCAGGAATTTGGGGCAGGAATTGGGGCATGAATTTGGGGCAGGAATTGGGGTCAGGAATTTGGGGCAGGAATTGGGGTCAGGAATTTGGGGCAGGAATTGGGGTCAGGAATTTGGGGCAGGAATTGGGGTCAGGAATTTGGGCAGGAATTGGGGTCAGGAATTGGGGTCAGGAATTTGGGCAGGAATTTGGGCAGGAATTGGGGCAGAAATCTGGGGCAGGAATTTGGGGCAGGAATTTGGGTCAGGAATTGGGGCATGAATTTGGGGCAGGAATCAGGGCAGGAATTGGGGTCAGGAATTTGGGTCAGGAATTTGGGGCAGGAATTTGGGCAGGAATTTGGGCAGGAATTTGGGCACGAATTGAGGCAGGAATTGTGGTCAGGAATTGGGTCTGTAATGCACCCGATCTGGAAGCTGAGCAGGTATAAATAAAGTAAACACGAGCCTCGATGTAAACTGCTCTTGGTGAGCCACCACCGTGTGTTTTAAAACTTTGCCCGGCGTGCGTTCCCGCGCTCCCCGCCTCAACTGCGGTGGGCCGGGGAGATGTTGACTCCCTCGCCCGGTATGCAGAAGGTCGTGGGTTCAATCCCGACCCCGACGATACCTGATGCTGTATATTTGGAGTTTGCGTCGCTCTCTCTCTCTCTCATCATCACGGTGGCTAGGAGATGTTAACTACTTCACCTGGTATACAGGAGGTCGTGGGTGCCATCCCAACCCTGATGCTTGCTGTATCTTTGGAGTTTATGTATCTCTAACATCATCGTCATCACGGTGGCTAGGAGATGTTAACTACCTCGCATGGTACACAGGAGGTCGTGGGTTCCATCCCGACCCTGACGACCCCTGCTGCTGCTGTATATTTGGAGTCTGCGTCTCTCTCTCTTTCATCATCATCATCACGGTGGCTATGAGATGTTAACTACCTCGCCTGGTACACAGGAGGTCGTGGGTTCGAACCCGACCCTGATGACGCCTGCTGCTGTATATTTGGAGTTAGCGTGTCTCTCTCTCTCTCATCACCATCACGGTGCCCAGGATATGTTAACTACTTCGCCTGGTCTACACGAGGTCGTGGGTTTCATCCCGACCCTGACGATGCCTGCTGCTGCTGTATATTTGGAGTCTGCGTCTCTCTCATCACCATCACGGTGCCCAGGAGATGGTAACTACCTCGCCTGGTCTACAGGAGGTCTGTGTCCCTCTCTCATCATCATCACGGTGGCTAGGAGATGTTAACTACCTCGCCTGGTCTACAGGAGGTCGTGGGTTCCATCCCGACCCTGACGACGTCTGCTGCTGCTGCTGTACATTTGCGGTGTCTCTCTATGAATGTCCACATGTCAAGCCGCTCCGCCGAGCTATCACGTGCGGCCAAAGACGCTTCCGAAAAAAAAAGAGCTAAAAAAAGCTCAGTAGGGACCCATCCCCATCGAAGTCTGGGTCTCCACACGCGCCGAAACTCCTCGCGGAGGGTCCGAGCCAATCGGAATTGTCGGGCGTGGGGGGGGGGGGGCTGTGGGGTCGGGTGGCCAGGGCTGGGGTGGGGGTGGTGTCGGGGGAGGGGGGGAGGGGAGAGACTGCCACCGACTCGACGGAGACGAATGGACGGGGGGGGGGGGGTGGCTGCGGATGGGCGGGAGCTGCGAGCGAGCAAGCGATGAAGCGGTCGGGTCGGGTCGGTTCCGTGGGGCGCGAGCACCGCACTTACTGGCACCAGCTTCCAGTACCACTTGGAGGGAGACTGCCGGAGCAAGGCGAGGGTGGCGGAGGAGGAGGAGGAGAGAAAAGCGGTAGGGGGGGAGGGGGGGGGGCGGCGGCCATGGCCGTGGCGGTGCCGGTGGCGTGACCCCCGCGCAAAGGGTAGCGCGGTGCGGCAAAGATGCGGTGTACGTACGTGTGTACTGTGTGTACTGTGTACTGTGTGTGTGTACTGTGTCTACTGTGTGTACTGTGTGTGTACTGTGTGTGTGTACTGTGTGTGTACTGTGTCTACTGTGTGTACTGTGTGTGTACTGTGTGTACTGTGTGTGTGTGTGTGTGCGTGTGTGTGCGTACCGTGTGTGTGTACCGTGTGTGTGTGTACTGTGTGTGTACTGTGTGTGTACTGTGTGTGTACTGTGTGTGTACTGTGTGTTAACTGTGTGTACTGTGTGTGTACTGTGTGTACTGTGTGTGTACTGTGTGTGTACTGTGTGTAGTGTGTGTGTGTACCGTGTGTGTGTACCGTGTGTGTGTGTACTGTGTGTGTACTGTGTGTGTACTGTGTGTTAACTGTGTGTGTACTGTGTGTACTGTGTGTGTACTGTGTGTGTACTGTGTGTACTGTACTGTGTGCACTGTGTGTGTGTGTACTGTGTGCACTGTGTGTGTGTGTACTGTGTGTGTGTACTGTGTGTACTGTGTGTGTACTGTGTGTGTACTGTGTGCACTGTGTGTGTGTGTACTGTGTGCACTGTGTGTGTGTACTGTGTGCACTGTGTGTATGTGTTTGTACTGTGTGTGTACTGTGTGTGTGTACTGTGTGTGTACTGTGTGTGTATATACTGTGTGTATATACTGTGTGTGTGTACTGTGTGTATATATTGTGTGTATATACTGTGTGTGTGTGTACTCTGTGTGTGTGTACTGTGTGTGTGTACTGTGTGTATGTGTGTGTACTGTGTATACTGTGTGTGTACTGTGTGTATACTGTGTGCACTGTGTGTGTATGTACTGTGTGCACTGTGTGTGTATGTACTGTGTGCACTGTGTGTGTATGTACTGTGTGCACTGTGTGTGTATGTACTGTGTGTATACTGTGTGTACTGTGTGTGTGTGTACTGTGTGTGTGTGTACTGTGTGTGTGTGTACTGTGTGTACTGTGTGTATGTGTGTGTACTGTGTGTTAACTGTGTGTGTACTGTGTGTACTGTGTGTGTACTGTGTGTGTACTGTGTGCACTGTGTGTGTGTGTACTGTGTGCACTGTGTGTGTGTGTACTGTGTGCACTGTGTGTGTGTGTGTACTGTGTGCACTGTGTGTATGTGTTTGTACTGTGTGTGTACTGTGTGTGTGTACTGTGTGTGTGTACTGTGTGTGTACTGTGTGTGTGTACTGTGTGTGTATATACTGTGTGTGTATATACTGTGTGTGTATATACTGTGTGTGTATATACTGTGTGTATATATTGTGTGTATATACTGTGTGTGTGTGTACTCTGTGTGTGTGTACTGTGTGTGTGTGTACTGTGTGTGTGTGTGTGTACTGTGTGTGTGTGTGTGTACTGTGTGTATGTGTGTGTACTGTGTGTGTACTGTGTGTTAACTGTGTGTGTACTGTGTGTACGGGCAACTCTGTCGTGGACAGCGCTGTGGGGGGAGTTCCAATTTTGATTGGCTCCTCCCCTCATGGCATATGTGTCCACCACAGGGGCTAAACGGGGGCTCTGGACGGGTGCGAGGGGCTGGTAACCCCTCCACCTTCAATTAATTACCACAAAACCACGAATTAAACTGAAATATGTAACAACTAAGCTTGTGCCGGAGGCCCCGGGGGGCCAGGCGTCTATGACGTCTCCTGGCCAAACCCCAATTGGCGGAGCCAGGAGATTGAATACCTACCCTCGGGGCTACTCCAGAAACAACGAAAAGCCACTACGGGTGGCCACGTGGAATGTTCGAACGCTCACTGCAGAGGAGAGGCTGCCACTCCTCTGTCGGGAGCTGGACCGGTACCGCCTGGATCTATGCGGCATTCAGGAGGTCCGGTGGACCGGCTCTGGCTCCTGCCACCATGAGGGGTGGACAGTCCTCTACTCGGGGCAGCAGACTGCCAAACAACAGGGTGTGGGTCTTCTTTTGAACAAAAGAATGAAGGGGGCGTGGGAGCGTGGCGGTGAGGTGTGGGAAGCTGTAAGCCCCAGGCTACTTTGGGCTCGCCTTCCCATCAACCGGAGGCGAGGAATGGTGGTCGTGGTTACTTATGCCCCCACCGAAGATGAACATCCGTGGAGGGATGCAGGCAAAGCCGATGAGTCAGATGCCTTCTATGACCTCCTGTCACAGGTGCTGGCTAAAGTGGCCCCTCGGGATAGAGTCATCATGTTGGGTGACTTCAATGCCCGAGTTGGTCATGATACTGGCACCTGGTCTGGAGTGATTGGAGGGCATGGGCCAGATCAGCTCAATAACAACGGTAGGAGGCTGCTAGATTTTTGTGCAGCCCATGGGCTTGTAATTACCAACACGCTGTTCCGGCATCGGCGCATCCACACAACATCATGGATGCATGCCGGGTCCAAGCAAGAACATCTGCTGGACTACATAGTGACGGACCAGCGAATGCGAGCTCATGTCCTTGACACCAGGACCTACCGCGGAGCTGATCTGCCCTCTGACCATCGACTAGTCATCTGTAAGATGCGCCTGCCATTCTTCCACTCCGGTGGTGGGTGTACACCCAGGACCCCATTCCAACCTAAAGTGGCCTGGTCTCAGTTATCTGATGAAAGTTGCAAGCGAGAATTTCATCATCGCTTGCGGCTGGGATTGGCATCGTCCCCGACTCCTCCTGATGTCGAGGGTAAATGGGCGAGGTTTAGGACTGTGACTCATGCAGCTGCCATGGCTGCTTTGGGTACGCGGTCCAGACCTCCCCAGACACCCTGGATGACAGAGGAGTTGTTCAGGATGGTTGAGAAAAAGCGACAGGCCCACTGTCATCGGCTACAGATTCCCACGTCAGAGAATGAGGAGGCTTACCGCAGCCTTCACTCGGAGGTTCGGAGAGCTGTGAGGCGCTGCAAGGATGGGTGGTGGTCGCGGGTTGCTGAGGAGATGGAGTCTGCCTCAGTGGCCCGTGATCACAAATCTCTATTAACTCCATCAAAAAAGTAACCTGCAGCGCCACACCTATTACCATCATTAGGGGAAAAAACGGTGATCCAATTTCCGACCCCCAGGAACAGGTTCGCAGATTTGCTGAGCATTTCTGTGAGGTCCTGGGGGAGGGAAAATCCCTCAGCCAGGAAAACATCGTGGCACAAAGTGAGGATGACCCTGCTGAGGCTGCGGTGCCTCAAATATTGGATGAAGTCACCCCCTGTGAGTGGCTGGCTGAGGTGCCATCTGCTGAGGAAGTATTGAAGGCGATCCGGAGTCTGAGACCAGGAAAGGCAGCGGGCAGAGATGATCTCCCAAGCGAAATGCTGAGGGAGGGTGGCGTTTGTGCACAGACTGCCCTATATGACATCATAACAACAGTCTGGACCACTGGACGGGTTCCGCAGGATTGGAAGGATGCCCTGGTGGTCCCCCTTTTTAAGAAGGGGGACCGCACAGACTGTAACAACTACAGGGGCATCTCACTCCTCAGTGTGCCGGGAAAGGTCCTGGCAAGGATTATTCAGCATCGCCTTGCCAGGCACGCTGAGGAGAGGCTTGCGGAGCCCCAATGCGGTTTCAGGAAAGGGCGGTCCTGCACAGATGCCATATTTTCTGTCCGTCTGCTACAGCAGAGGTGTAGGGAATTCCAACAAGACCTACATCTCTGCTTTATTGACCTGGTCAAGGCCTATGATACCATCAGTAGGCCTGGGCTCTGGGTCGTTCTTCGTGCTTTTGGAGTACCTGACCCTCTGCTCACGATCATTAAGGACCTTCATGATGGTGAGCGGGCCCGGGTAAAACTACGTGGCCGGGAGTCAGAGCCATTCCCTGTACACCTTGGGGTGCGACAGGGATGTCCTCTGGCTCCCACATTATTTAACATCTATTTTGACCACGTGGTTCGTGAAGCCTTCAATAGCTGTACCGGGGGAATCTCCATATGGTACAGATATAATGGGAGGCTAATCGATGCCCGGGTGCGGTCAAGGGATGGCTCCCTATTGCTCAACCACGTTATGTATGCTGATGACTTGGTAATAGCTGCTCAGTCAGAGGAGGAGTTGGAGACGCTGCTGCTGAGACTGGAGCATGCCACTAAGAGGTGGGGCCTTACCATCAGCCCCACCAAAACTAAGCACCTGCCTGGGTATTTTGTACCATTGGACACTCCACCCCCACAACTCCCAATCGGTGATGGGGCAGTTGTGGAGAGAGTGGAGAGTTTCCCATACCTGGGCAGTGTGCTTATGACTGGCTCCAGTTTAACAGCAGAGGTCTCACTCCGAATCAGTCGAGCGGCAATATCTTTTCATCGGTTGCGTAACGCTGTGTGGAAGCTACCTGGTCTGTCGCTCCACACTAAGCTTCAGGTCTTCTCGGCCACGGTCATTCCCTCCCTTCTCTACGCTTGCGAAACGTGGACCCCCCTAATGGAACATCTTCGCCGGTTGGAAACATTTAGGCTGGCCTGCCTACGATCCATCCTGGGTTTAACCAGACTGGATTGTGTGAGGAGCTCACAAATCCTTGAAAGATCTGGGCAGGGTCCCATCGGTGAGCTCCTCCGGCAGGCAAGGCTGCGATGGCTGGGTCATGTAGCCCGCATGCCCAGCCACCGCATGCCGAAACAGCTTTTGTTTGGCTGGATTGAGGGGGCTAAGCGGGCGCGGCACGGGCTAGAGAAGAGATGGAGTGATGTGGTACAGGAGGACGTGGAGCTGAGTGGACTTGCCGATGACTGGTACCAGCGGTGTCAAGATCGGCCTCTGTGGAGGAGGCTCGTGAAGGATGCTACTGGGCAGTTGGAGGCAGTCGCCCTCCAACAACAACGGAGGGCGGAGGAGCGACGCTCACAACAGCGAGCGGAGCGCCGGGTGGCTAAAGCACAGCAGGTTGGCACAGTAGGGGGCACAGGTGGTGCATCAGCCAGTCATCTCAGTCAGTCGACCCGTGGCACCTGGGTCTGCCCCGTGACCTCCTGCCAGCGGGCGTTCGACACTTCACGTGGCCTCAGGGTGCACATAGCCTGGCACAAGCGTCGTGGTGACGTCACCGCCACTTAGTGGCGAATGGCGGTTGTTGTTGTTGTGTATACTGTGTGTGTACTGTGTGTATACTGTGTGCACTGTGTGTGTATGTACTGTGTGCACTGTGTGTGTATGTACTGTGTGCACTGTGTGTGTATGTACTGTGTGTACTGTGTGTGTATGTACTGTGTGTACTGTGTGTACTGTGTATACTGTGTGTACTGTGTGTGTGTGTACTGTGTGTGTGTACTGTGTGTACTGTGTGTATGTGTGTGTACTGTGTGCACTGTGTGTGTGTACTGTGTGTACTGTGCACTGTGTGTGTGTGTACTGTGTGTGTGTACTGTGTGTACTGTGTGTGTACTGTGTGTACTGTGTGTGTACTGTGTGCACTGTGTGTGTGTGTACTGTGTGCACTGTGTGTGTGTGTACTGTGTGCACTGTGTGTATGTGTTTGTACTGTGTGTGTACTGTGTGTGTGTACTGTGTGTGTACTGTGTGTGTGTACTGTGTGTACTGTGTGTGTACTGTGTGTGTATATACTGTGTGTGTATATACTGTGTGTGTGTACTGTGTGTATATATTGTGTGTATATACTGTGTGTGTGTGTACTCTGTGTGTGTGTACTGTGTGTGTGTACTGTGTGTATGTGTGTGTACTGTGTATACTGTGTGTGTACTGTGTGTATACTGTGTGCACTGTGTGTGTATGTACTGTGTGCACTGTGTGTGTATGTACTGTGTGCACTGTGTGTGTATGTACTGTGTGTACTGTGTGTACTGTGTGTATACTGTGTGTACTGTGTGTGTGTGTACTGTGTGTGTGTGTACTGTGTGTGTGTGTACTGTGTGTACTGTGTGTATGTGTGTGTACTGTGTGTTAACTGTGTGTGTACTGTGTGTGTACTGTGTGTACTGTACTGTGTGTACTGTGTGTGTACTGTGTGCACTGTGTGTGTGTGTACTGTGTGCACTGTGTGTGTGTGTACTGTGTGCACTGTGTGTATGTGTTTGTACTGTGTGTGTACTGTGTGTGTGTACTGTGTGTGTACTGTGTGTGTGTACTGTGTGTACTGTGTGTGTATATACTGTGTGTGTATATACTGTGTGTGTATATACTGTGTGTGTGTACTGTGTGTATATATTGTGTGTATATACTGTGTGTGTGTGTACTCTGTGTGTGTGTACTGTGTGTGTGTGTACTGTGTGTGTGTACTGTGTGCACTGTGTGTGTGTACTGTGTGTACTGTGTGTGTACTGTGTGCACTGTGTGTGTGTACTGTGTGTGTGTACTGTGTGCACTGTGTGTGTACTGTGTGTGTGTACTGTGTGTGTATGTCTGTCGTCCCGACAGGTCTGTTCCTTTCACCTGAAGATGGCCGCTTGCGTTGTGGCCGAAACGTCGTGAGAATTTTATTGTGTTATTTTATTCTCATTCTACGTGACTTTACCGAAAGAACCAAAGAAGATTGTGTATAGCCGTGTAGTGTATAGCGGCGTAGTGTATAGTGTAGTTTATAGTGTAGTGTATAGTAGTGTAGTGTATAGTAGTGTAGTGTATAGTAGTGTAGTGTATAGTAGTGTAGTGTATAGTGTAGCGTATAGTGTAGTGTATAGTGTAGTGTATAGTGTAGTGTATAGTGTAGTGTATAGTGTAGTGTATAGTAGCGTAGTGTATAGTAGCGTAGTGTATAGTAGCGTAATGTATAGTAGTGTAGTGTATAGTAGTGTAGTGTATAGTGTAGCGTATAGTGTAGCGTATAGTAGCGTAGTGTATAGTAGCGTAGTGTATGGTGTAGTGTATAGTAGTGTAGTGTATGGTGTAGTGTATAGTAGTGTAGTGTATAGTGGTGTAGTGTATAGTGGCGTAGTGTATAGTGGCATAGTGTATAGTGGCGTAGTGTATAGTGGCATAGTGTATAGGCGTGTAGTGTATAGTGGCATAGTGTATAGTAACGTAGTGTATAGTAACGTGGTGTATAGCAGTGTAGTGTATAGCAGCGTAGGGTATAGTGTAGTGTATAGTGGTGTAGTGTATAGCAGTGTAGTGTATAGTGTAGTGTATAGTGTAGTGTATAGTGTAGTGTATAGTGGTGTAGTGTATAGTGGTGTAGTGTATAGCAGTGTAGTGTATAGCCGCGTAGTGTATAGTGTAGTGTATAACCGTGTAGTGTACAGTGTAGTGTATAGTAGTGTAGTGTATCGTAGCGTAGTGTATAGTGTAGTGTATAGCCGTGTAGTGTATAGTGTAGTGTATAGTGTAGTGTATAGTGTAGTGTATAGTGTAGTGTATAGCGTAGTGTATAGTGTAGTGTATAGTAGCGTATAGTAGTGTAGTGTATAGTGTAGAGTATAGTAGTGTACAGTGTAGTGTATAGTAGTGTAGTGTATAGTGGTGTAGTGTATAGTGGCGTAGTGTATAGTGGCATAGTGTATAGTAGCTTAGTGTATAGTGGCATAGTGTATAGTAGCGTAGTGTATAGTAGTGTAGTGTATAGTGTAGTGTATAGCGGTGTAGTGTATAGTGTAGTGTATAGTTTAGTATAGTGTAGTGTATAGCGGTGTAGTGTATAGCCGCGTAGTGTATAGTGTAGTGTATAACCGCGTAGTGTATAGTGTAGTGTATAACCGTGTAGTGTACAGTGGAGTGTATAGTAGTGTAGTGTATAGTAGCGTAGTGTATAGTGTAGTGTATAGCGGTGTAGTGTATAGTGTAGTGTATAGTGTTGTAGTGTATAGTGTTGTAGTGTATAGTGTAGTGTATAGCGGTGTAGTGTATAGTGTAATGTATAGAGTAGTGTATAGTGTAGTGTATAGCCGTGTAGTGTATAGCCGTGCAGTGTTTAGTGTAGTGTATAGTGGCGTAGTGTATAGTGTAGTGTATAGCGTAGTGCTTGTGGAGGTGTGGTTACGGTTGCTGCGGTGGGATTTTGGTGCCGTGGTTATGCTTGTGGCCTGGTCACGATGTTGGTGGTACGTAACGGCCGGTTCATCGTGGTGGCAATGCGCCTCCGGTCGCGCTTGGTGGTTTGGCTAAAAATCTTCGCGCTACGCTTGTCGTCCTTCGACCCGCACCTCTCATGAGCACGGTGGCCTACGTACAGCGCTCAAAGAAGTGACGGGTGCACGGTGGTAGCAGCGGCGCCGGGTGTTGCGGGTGTACCGACGACCCCGCACGGTGGTTGGCGACGGACAGCGCGTTTTTCCGGCGTGCCGACGTTACCTTGTGGTGGGCAGGCGACTCCGACCTCTGTCGCAGCTTCCACTCGGCCTCCACAATCTCGCGCATCTTCATGTTCACCTGCGCGCAAGGACAACGAGATCGGCAGCGTGGGCCTCTGTGAATTCACGCGCGCGCGAATCATCACGTTCTTTTTCAATAAAAAAAAAACTACAGTCCCATATAAACAACAAAATAATAAAATATATTTTTTTATTATTATTTTGTTGTTTCTCTTCAACGTGACGACTTTATCGAAAAAAACTAAGAATGTGAATTACTGCAGTCACGAAAGCTTTAAATCAAAATTTAGTCCCATATAAGTTTAATTAAAAAAAAATAAACATTTGAAGCACACTGCATATTTGGAGTGGATTTTTCTCTCCGGGTCCTCCGGTTTTTCCCCCTCCGCGTTTAGAGTCGGCGCCAAGCGTTTCGGATCATTCGACTGCCGCTATAAATTTCCAAGCGACGACGACGACGACGGCGGCGACGACGAGACACTGCGTCGAGCTGCTATCGCTTGCGACGGCCCTAACTGGCAAAAGGGAAAAAAGTTCCGCTTCATGGTTTGTCGTGCGGCGCGCCAAACGCTGCCGCCCGCCGCGTCTCCGCGTACCCCAGCGCGTACCCCCCAGCGCGTACCCCCCAGCGCGTACCCCCCAGCGCGTACCCCCCAGCGCGTACCCCCCAGGTGAGCGTGCGTCACGACACCCACCACGTACGCTCACCTTGTTTATCCAGAAGAGCATGGCGTCCTCAAGGCCGTAGGGCAGCTCCTGCGAGGCGGAGAACGTGGAGAAGCGCTGCACGGCCGCTACCACGCGCTCCACGCTCATCATCTCCACTGCCACCGCCATCATCAGCGCGTCCATCAGGGCCAGGTGAGCCGCCTGCGGGCACGGGCGGGCGGGCACACGGATGCTTCGTCAAGCCGTTTCTAAACGACAGCGAGGTGTCGGAGCATGCGGCGGGGGTGGTGGTGGTGGTTCGGTTCCGTTGTTCGCCTAGACGAGTGTAGATATAGAATGTTCATATACATACTACGATATTACTATACACTACTACGATATTACTATACACTACTACGATATTACTATACACTACTACGATATTACTATACACTACTACGATATTACTATACACTACTACGATATTACTATACACAACTACTATATTACTATACATACTACGATATTACTATACACTACTACGATATTACTATACACTACTACGATATTACTATACACTACTACGATATTACTATACACTACTACGATATTACTATACATACTACGATATTACTATACATACTACGATATTCCTATACACACTACGATATTATTATACACACTACTATATTCCTATACACACTACGATATTACTATACATACTACGATATTCCTATACACACTACGATATTACTATACACACTACTATATTACTATACACACTACCATATTACTATACATACTACCATATTACTGTACATACTACCATATTACTGTACATACTACCATATTACTATACATACTACGATATTACTATACATACTACGATATTACTATACATACTACGATATTACTATACATACTACGATATTACTATACATACTACGATATTACTATACATACTACGATATTACTATACATACTACGATATTACTATACATACTACAATATTACTATACATACTACGATATTACTATACATACTACGATATTACTATACATACTATTATATTACTATACATACTACTATATTAATATACACTACTATATACTACTATATTACTGTATATACTACTATATTACTATACACACTATATATTACTATACACTACTATATATTACTATACATACCACTATATATTACTATACATACTACTATATATTACTATACATACTACTATATATTACTATACATACTACTATATATTACTATACATACTACTATATATTACTATACACTACTATATATTACTATACACGACTATATATTTCTATAAACTACTATATTACTATATACTACTATATTACTATACGAGTGTTATTTTAAAACGTAAGAGTGCGTATAAAAAGTACATGAATGTTGTTGAATGAGGTACAACACTTATTACGGACCAATTCAGACCTTATTCGTCACCCCCCCCGTGCCCCTTATAAATCTCAACGTTCATCCCACAAAATCCCATCACAAGTGAGAAACACAAACAAATAGACACCAATTTTGTTGTTGCCGGTATTGAAACGGCTGTACGCCTGTTTGGGCCAGAAAACTCAATTTCCCCTGTACAAGAATCGGGGGTTAACCGTATGGGTTGACACGGTATGGAGTTACACATATGTGTAAGGGGTCTCAATCGCCTCTGGTTTATTACATTCTTAGAACGTAATCACAACAACGAGCGGAGCGCCGGGTGGCTAAAGCACAGCGGGTTGGCACAGTAGGGGGCACAGGTGGTGCATCAGCCAGTAATCTCGGTCATCTCAGTCAGTCGACCCGTGGCACCTGGGTCTGCCCCGTGACCTCCTGCCAGCGGGCGTTCGACACTTCACGTGGCCTCAAGGTGCACATAGCCTGGCACAAGCGTCGTGGTGACGTCACCGCCACTTAGTGGCGAATGGCGGTTGTTGTTATTGTCTCTCTCTGTGTGTCTCTCTGTGTCTCTCTCTCTGTGTATGTGTCTCTCTCCGTGTCTGTGTTTGTTTCTCTCTCTGTGTCTCTCTCTGTGTGTATGTGTCTCTCTCCGTGTCTGTGTTTATCTCTCTCTCTGTCTCTCTATCTCTCTCTGTGTCTCTCTCTCTGTGTATGTGTCTCTCTCCGTGTCTGTGTTTGTTTCTCTCTCTGTGTCTCTCTCTGTGTGTATGTGTCTCTCTCCGTGTCTGTGTTTGTCTCTCTCTCTCTCTGTCTCTCTGTATATGTGTCTCTCTGTGTGTGTGTCTCTCTCTGTGTTTGTCTCTCTGTATGTGTCTCTCTCAGTATGTCTCTCTCTCCGTGTCTATGTTTGTCTCTCTCTCTCTGTATATGTGTCTCTCTCTCTGTGTATGTGTGTCTCTCTCTGTATGTCTCTCTCTGTTTGTCTCTCTCCGTGTCTGTGTTTGTCTCTCTCTATGTATGTCTCTCTCTGTATGTGTCTCCGTGTCTGTGTTTGTCTCTCTGTATGCGTCTCTCTCTGTATGTGTCTCTCTGTATGTGTCTCTCTCTCTATGTGTCTCTCTCCGTGTCTGTGTTTGTCTCTCTGTATGCGTCTCTCTCTGTGTGTGTCTCTCTCCGTGTCTGTGTTTGTCTCTCTGTATGCGTCTCTCTCTGTGTGTCTCTCTCCGTGTCTGTGTTTGTCTCTCTGTATGCGTCTCTCTCTGTATGTGTCTCTCTCCGTGTCTGTGTTTGTCTCTCTGTATGCGTCTCTCTCTGTATGTGTCTCTCTCCGTGTCTGTGTTTGTCTCTCTGTATGCGTCTCTCTCTCTGTATGTGTCTCTCTCCGTGTCTGTGTTTGTCTCTCTGTATGCGTCTCTCTCTGTGTGTGTCTCTCTCCGTGTCTGTGTTTGTCTCTCTGTATGCGTCTCTCTCCGTGTCTGTGTTTGTCTCTCTGTATGCGTCTCTCTCTCTGTATGTGTCTCTCTCCGTGTCTGTGTTTGTCTCTCTGTATGCGTCTCTCTCTCTATGTGTCTCTCTCCGTGTCTGTGTTTGTCTCTCTGTATGCGTCTCTCTCTGTGTGTGTCTCTCTCCGTGTCTGTGTTTGTCTCTCTGTATGCGTCTCTCTCTATGTGTGTCTCTCTCCGTGTCTGTGTTTGTCTCTCTGTATGCGTCTCTCTCTATGTGTCTCTCTCCGTGTCTGTGTTTGTCTCTCTGTATGCGTCTCTCTCCGCGCTCGCATTCACACCTCACGACGGTTGCTTGTGTTGCGATCGAAACGTCGAATTCTGTTATTTAGTTTATTTTATTCTCTACGTGACTTTACCGAAATAACCAAAGAGTAATTCCTGCAGTCACGAAAGCTTCAAATCAAGTTTGGCTTGTCATCACCGTCATCTAGGAATAGGTTTTACCCTTTTAACTGGCACAAAAACTGACACCTTTATTCAAGGCATCACGTTTGCAATAACCACAACACAAGCAGTCAAAATTCAAACAAAAAAGACAACTCTGATAATAATATTGGCACTGTCATTGAATTTGATTGGTCCACACCCGAGACAGCTTTTCTTAGAGCCTAGTCTCCATTGGTGTTGGACCAGAAGACGCCAAAAGGCATACAACTCAAAAACAGCGCACTATCAGAGTTATTGAGTTGTACGCCTTTTGGCGTCTTCTGGTCCAACAACAATGGAGACTAGGCTCTAAGAAAAGCTGTCTCGGGTGTGGACCAATCAAATTCAAGGACAGTGCCAATATTATTATCAGAGTTGTCTTTTTTGTTTGCATTTTGACTGCTGGTGTTGTGGTCATTGCAAACATGATGCCTTGAATAAAGGTGTCAGTTTTTGTGCCAGTTAAAAGGGTAAAAACCTATTCCTATATCGTGTTACTGGCAAAGGAGGTCTCAATGTAAATCACCGTCATCATCGTCGTCATCATCGTCACGCGGGAATTTACGGCGCAGGTCGAGACTCGTAGAGACCCATAAACCCACAGACTCAGAGACCCATAATGATAAGAGACCCACAGAGCCACAGACACCCACACTCGTGGAGACCCAGAGGCCCATACTTATCGAGACCCATGCTAAAACTAGACTTTTATTTTACCAGGTAAGGGCCCCACTGAGATGCTGTGGAGCGTTTTTTTTTATTCAGAAGTGCACCCTGGCTATCGCAAATGGTAGCAGCTCGACGAATTGGCTTGTCATCATCGTCACGTAGAAATGTATAGCACCAGCCAAGACTCACGGAGACCCACAGACACCCATACTCATAGAGACCCACAGAGACCCATACTCACAGAGACCCACACTCATAGAGACCCACAGACACCCATACTCATAGAGACCCGCAGAGACCCACGCTAATAGAGACCCACAGAGACCCACACTCATAGAGACCCACAGAGACCCACACTCAAAGAGACCCACAGAGATTCATACTCATAGAGACCCACAGAGACCCATACTCATAGAGACCCACAGAGACCCACGCTCATAGAGACCCACATAAACCCACACTCATAGAGACCCACACTCATAGAGACCCACAGAGACCCACGCTCATAGAGACCCACAGAGACCCACACTCAGAGACCCACAGAGACCCACACTCGTAGAGACCCACAGACACCCACACTCATAGAGACCCACAGAGACCCACAAAGACCCGTTAAGTGAAAGGGTTAAGGGCATGCATACCCCTCCACGCTCTCCCTCCACGCTCTCCCTCCACGTTCACGTATCTCGCGTGAAACCTCTCCGCGTGTCGTTGCGGGGGCCCGCGCGTTGACGTCACAATAAATATGAACACAGAACCAAAGAGCACTCGTATCGGGAGCCCGGCGACACTTCCGTGGGGAATAGAGGACGAGAGAGAAAGGGGGGGAAAGGAAATAAAGAAAGCAAAATAAAATAAAATAAACCCCCCCCCCACTGGTGGCAGAGCATCTCACCGGCAGTGCCGGCTCCGGCACTGCCGGTGAGATGCTTTGCCGCCGTTCCCGCCAGCAGCCCCCCCCCCCCTCTCCCCCTGCACCCCCCCCCCCCCAACCCTCCTGGCCCGGCATAACAAAATCTGCCAATCAACCCGTTACTGTTTCACGACCGCCTTCATTTAATTTTCGATTTGAAGCTCTCGCGACTGCAAGGCGTCATCTTCTTTGGTTCTTTCGGTAAAGTCACCACCACCACCACGTAGAATGAGATGTAAAATAATAAATTGATAAAATAAAATAACGCGATAATAATAATATTCTCACGACGTTTCGGCCACAACACAAGCGGCCTTCATCAGGTGAAGGGACGAGACTGTCTTCACTCCAGCGCTGTCCTCCAGACAGTTTAGTCCCTTCAACCGGATGAAGGCCGCTTGTGTTGTGGCCGAAACGTCGTGAGAATATTATTGCGTTATTTTATTTGATCAATTTGTTATTTTATTCTCATTCTACGTGGTGGTGACTTTACCATTAATACAAGGCAAGAATCCAAGTCTCGGGCGAAGCCGTGTAAAAATAAAGGCAGGAGGGCAAAAAAAATACAATGAGTTTTAAGTTTTTACATCACTAGACCAAAATGTAATAATAATAGGGGTTTTTCCCCTTTTTTCTGGCAACAAACTGAAACCTTTTTAACAAGGATTCATGTTTACTGCATTAAGCACCAATACCTGCAGTCAACATCCAAACAAAAGACACACTATGATAATATATACGTGGCATTGTCCTTGAAACTGATTGGTCCACACCAAGGGACGGCTTTCTTTTGAGCCTCGACCCAATTGGTGCTCGACCAGATGACGCCAAAAGGCGTCACACAGCTCAAAGACAATGCCGCTATCAAAGTAATGAGGGCTCGGGGTGAGCATCTACATCATCATTAGACCTCCTTTGCCAGTACCAAAATGTAATAATAAAAGGGTTTTTCCACTTTTTTCTGGCAACAAAACTGAAACCTTTTGACAAGGGGATTCATGTTTACTGCATTAACCACAATACCTGCAGTCAAAATGACCAGTCACAAGCTAATCCCTCAGCTATTTCATATGTAAACCCCTTTGTCAAGGTGCCTCACTTCGCTACGAATCTTAACATCGTTCACTGAAGCTCTGTCGTCCCGACAGGTCTGTACCTTTCACCTGAAGACGGCCGCTTGCGGTTGTGGCCGAAACGTCGTGAGAATTTTATTGTTTTATTTTATTATTTTATTCTCATTCTACGTGACTTTACCGAAAGAACCAAAGAAGAAAAAACACGTACTATGATAATATATGATGCATTGTCCTTGAAACTGATTGGTCCACACCAAGGGATGGCTTTCTTTTGATGTGGACCAATCAGTTTCAAGGACAATGCCACATATACAATCGTAGTGTGTTTTTTGTTTGCATTTTGTTTGCATTTTGACTGCAGGTATTGCGGTTAATGCAGTAAACATGAATCCCCTTTGTCAAAAAGGTTTCAGTTTTGTTGCAAGAAAAAAAAAGGGGGAAAAACCCCTATGATTAAGTTTTAAGTTGAACAAAACCCGGCCGTCGCGTCAGCCTCTCACCATGTCGATGGGCGTGCGCGCGAGGTCGTCCTCCGTGATGGGGGTCTCGCCCGCGCCGCCGCCCAGCACGTGCAGGCCCTTGTCGGCCAGGGCTCGCACCACGGCCCCGTGACCCCCGCCGGGACACGCGGAGGGGCCCCTGTCGCCGCCGTCGCCGCCGCCGCCTCCGCCGCCGCCCCCGCGCATCACCAGCAGGCAAACCTACGCGGGGCGCCGGCCCCGGACAGCATCCCACGCGGAGAGGGAGAGGAGCGAGAAGGGAGAGAGAGGTGAGAGAGTTGAGAGAGATGAGAGAGAGTTGAGAGAGAAGCGAGAGAGAGACGAGAGAGATGAGAGAGAGAGGTGAGAGAGAGATGAGAGAGAGTTGAGAGAGAGGCGAGAGAGAGGCGAGAGAGATGAGAGAGAGAGAGAGAGAGGTGAGAGAGAGGTGAGAGAGATGAGAGAGAGATGAGAGAGTTGAGAGAGAGAGATGAGAGAGAGAGAGATGAGAGAGTTGAGAGAGTTGAGAGAGAGATGAGAGAGAGATGAGAGAGAGATGAGAGAGAGATGAGAGAGAGATGAGAGATAGATGAGAGAGATGAGATGAGGGAGATGAGATGAGAGATGATATGAGAGAGATGAGAGAGAGATGAGAGAGATATGAGAGAGAGATGAGAGAGATGAGAGGGTTGAGAGAGATGAGATGTGCGAGTCCATGCACGCGTGTACGCACGGAAGGCTTCTCTCACACCGTGCGTAAATAGCCAACCGTGAAAAAAATCGGAACAGCCCCGCGCGATCCCGCGGAGCTCCGTGCGAGTCCATGCGCGTGTGTACGTACGTACGTACGTACGGTGTGAACTTCTTTCACACCGTACGTACGTGGCCTTCCGTCCAAACTGGAGGTGCGGGGGTGGTGGTGGTGTTGGTGGTGTTGGTGCTGGGGGTGCTGGGGGTGTGGGGGAGATGACACCAAGCTAAAAGCACCGCACACCTGAGAGTAGAGCTCGCCGGTGAGCAGCAGGCGGGTCACGGGAGGCTTGATGTGCTCCTGCTCGTACTGGTCCGTGTAGAAGGGGTCACGCAGGTCCTCAGGCACGTGGTCTGCGGAGAACGCGCAGGGGGGGGGGGGGTGGAGAGAGGGGGGGGGGGGTGGTGGGGGAGGGACAATGGTTGCTCGCGGCGACGAGCGCGGAGACGGTCGCGCGGCGGTGTCGTCGCCGCGGCGACTACGGCCGTTGCCGCCGGCGACGGCGGCGACGCCGGCAACCGGCGCGCTCACCTGCGCCGTACGCCTTGCCGAGGAGCCAGGCGAGGCTGGCGGCCGTCTTGGCCCGGTGGGCGTCGTAGCGTTCGGGGGGCACGACGGCCGGGCCCCCCTCCCCTGCGGCCGCCCCCCCGCCCCAGCCGTTGTCTTGCGCCAGCGACTCCGACATGACCCCCCCCCCTGGAGAGGGCCGAGAGGCAGGCCAGGGGGAGGGGATATCAGAACACAGCGGAATCCCATCCTCCCCATCCTCCTCATCCTCCCCATCCTCCTCATCCTCCCCATCCTCCCCATCATCCCCATCCTCCCCATCCTCCCCATCCTCCTCATCCTCCCCATCCTCCCCATCATCCCCATCATCCCCATCCTCCCCATCCTCCTCATCCTCCCCATCCTCCCCATCCTCCCCATCCTCCACATCCTCCCCATCCTCCCCATCCTCCTCATCCTCCTCATCCTCCCCATCCTCCTCATCCTCCCCATCATCCCCATCATCCCCATCCTCCCCATCCTCCCCATCCTCCCCATCCTCCCCATCCTCCTCATCCTCCCCATCCTCCCCATCCTCCTCATCCTCCCCATCCTCCTCATCCTCCTCATCCTCCCCATCCTCCCCATCCTCCTCATCCTCCCCATCCTCCCCATCCTCCCCATCCTCCTCATCCTCCCCATCCTCCCCATCCTCCTCATCCTCCTCATCCTCCTCATCCTCCCCATCCTCCCCATCATCCCCATCCTCCCCATCCTCCTCATCCTCCTCATCCTCCCCATCCTCCCCATCCTCCCCATCCTCCTCATCCTCCTCATCCTCCCCATCCTCCTCCTCCTCGTAAACTACGGCGATTGGTTCCACGAAACCGGCCGTTAAAGCGATTTGGTCCTTAAGCGAGCGTGGGGAATGGACGTTACAAGGCTCAATTTCACGATAACATTCAAGCAACGGATATTGTTATTCTTGGTGCTTTCGGTAAAGTCACGTTGAAGGGAAACAATCAAATAATAATGCATATAAAACAATACAATTCTCACGACGTTTCGACTGTTTTTCATTACAGTCGAAACGTCGTGAGAATTTTATTGTTTTATATATATTATTATTATTTTATTGTTTCCCTTCAACGTGACTTTACCGAAAGAACCAAGAATGTGAATCACTGCAGTCACGAAAGCTCGAAATCAAAATTTTACAGATATTGTTCTTTTTCAATATTTAAACAATACGTAAAGATGCTGACAACATCATAAACACAAAATAGTATTAGAAACGCGGATAATCGATGCATTAATTAACATTTACTTTGCCTACAACAGCCCATCGTTAACAGGGCAAGAATGGTCAGTAAGCGAACACATTGGGCTCTACTCTTTGGTTCTATTGGGTAAAGTCACGTAGGTAAAAAATAAAAAAACAAAAATCATGATGTTTCGGCCACAACACAAGCGGCCTTCATCAGGTGAAGGGACGAGACTGTCTGGAGAACAGCGCTGGAGTGAAAAAAGCCACGCTCAGATCACGACCTTTAAGCTGTGTGAGAAGAAACAAAGCGCCTTGACAAAGGAATTAGCATATAATTTAGCATTGAAATGGCTCATTGAAATAGCTAAGTTAAAGTATACACATCCGCAGAGGCACCCCTTGACAAAGGCTCTGTGAAGGCACTACACTACGATAAACTACACTCTACGTTACTATACACTACACTACGCTACTATATACTACGCTAATCTACTATATACTACACTACTATACACTACGCTACTATATACTACGCTACTAAACACCACACGACACTACTATATATTACGCTACTATACACTACACTACTATACACTACACTACACATTACGCTACTACACATTACGCTACTACACACTACGCTACTATACACTACCCTACTATACACTACGCTACCATACACTACGCCACTATACGCTACGCTACCCTACACCACACCACTCTACGCTACTATATATTACGCTACTATACACTACACTACACACTACGCTACTACACACTAGGCTACGATACACTACCCCACTATACACTACCCCACTATACACTACGCTACCCTACTATACACTACGCTACCCTACTATACACTACGCTACTATACACTACGCTACTATACACTACGCTACCCTACTATACACTACGCTACCCTACTATACACTACCCTACTATACACTACGCTACTATACACTACGCTACTATACACTACGCTACTATACACTACGCTACCCTACTATACACTACCCTACTATACACTACGCTACCCTACTATACACTACCCTACTATACACTACGCTACTATACACTACGCTACTATACACTACGCTACTATACACTACGCTACTATACACTACGCTACTATACACTACGCTACTATACACTACGCTACTATACACTACGCTACTATACACTACGCTACGCTACTATACGCTACGCTACTATACGCTACCCTACTATACGCTACCCTACTATACGCTACCCTACTATACGCTACCCTACTATACGCTACCCTACTATACACTACCCTACTATACACTACGCTACTATACACTACGCTACTATACACTACGCTACTATACACTACGCTACTATACACTACGCTACTATACACTACGCTACTATACACTACGCTACTATACACTACGCTACTATACACTACCCTACTATACACTACCCTACTATACACTACCCTACTATACACTACGCTACTATACACTACGCTACTATACACTACGCTACTATACACTACGCTACCCTACTATACACTACGCTACTATACACTACGCTACTATAGACTACGCTACTATACACTACGCTACTATACACTACGCTACCCTACTATACACTACCCTACTATACACTACCCTACTATACACTACGCTACTATACACTACGCTACTATACACTACGCTACTATACACTACGCTACGCTACTATACACTACGCTACGCTACTATACACTACGCTACTATACACTACACTTCTATACACTACAATACTTTACACTACACTAAGCTACTATAGACTAAACTACGCTATACACAACAATACACTACACTGTACACTACTGCACCATACTAAATTCAAAACTAACTTCTTTCGAACAGCTTTTTGTGTTTCGTTTGTTGTCCGTCCCCCCCCGGCACCTCCGATAAGCCACGGTTGGCTACGCACGGTGCGAAAGAAGTTCAACTCGCACACACACACACACACAGAGATGCAACATAGCGGTGTGGGGGGTTCCGGCAACATCACCGCATTTCTGGGTTTTGATCTTCCGCGAAGCTGCTCATGGTCCACCCCTAAACCGCATCATCCACTGCACAAACCGTGGCAGCAGCGGTAGATGCGGACACACCTGACGATGCGTAAATGGAAGATTAAAAACTCTCCAGGAGTAGCTGGGGGGCCGTGGTCATCCAGGACAGAGGCCACAATCCAAGGCGCAACGAAGCGTTGCTGCCACCCCACCCCCATCCACAAATTACGAAGAAGGAGGACATCACAGCGACGACGATGATTATGACGATGATACACTCACTAACTACTTCGCTACTGGAGCTAACGCAGGTTTATCTGGGCTTGGTCACCCGAATGTGAAATTGTAAGCTGTTGCTCTGCATCTACATTAGCTGTACGAAAGAACACGATTGCCCATAGACTAACATTGCTTCGGAGTCTAACATTGCCCATAGTCTAACATTGCCCCAGAGTCTAACATTGCCCATAGACTAATATTGCCCATAGTCTAACATTGCCCATAGACTCACATTGCCCATAGACTAACATTACCCATAGACTAACATTGCCCATAGATTAACATTGCCCATAGTCTAACATTGCCCATAGACTAACATTGCCCATAGACTAACATTACCCATAGACTAACATTACCCATAGACTAACATTGCCAATAGTCTTAACATTGCACGTGGACATTCTAAACCTGTGCAGTGTGCGGCCGTGGTCACCCAGAACCGACCGTGAGTACAAGGCGCAGTGACGCCATGCCCCCATCCACAGACTACCAAGAAGGAGACGTCACAGCGACGACGATGATGACGACGATGATGACGATGATGACAACACACTACTACTCCGCGACTGCTCCCGACGCAGGTTGTATCACACTACTACTACTCCACGACTGCTCCTGACGCAGGTTGTATCTGCGCTTGATCAACAAAGATGATGGCCACCTTCTGTCTTCGATGGCCGGCCAAAAGCCGCCGCCGCGAGGACGATGACCGGAGTGGTCGTGATGATGACGGCGACGGCTTAGAGCCCCTTGACGAGATCGGCAAAGCAGCAAGGTTAGCGGTGGTTCATTTGTGGCAAGAAGCACTTTGTGTGCGTGCGTGCGTGCGTGCGCGCGCACGTCATTGAGTCCGCCACCTTACAAGCAGCGCATTCGTTCGGCACATGCCGGGTGGAGCCAGGCATATAGGGCGCAGGGGGTCGCGAGGGAGAAGAGTTAACGACGCGGAAAGATGGATGGCGGGGGAGCGATGGGAAGAGTAGGGAGAGACATAGCGGGAGGCGTAGAGAGGGGGGGGGGTGGTGTAGCAGGCAAGGACCTCGCGCACCCAGCGATCGAACGCCGCTCCCTCGCCCGTCGGTGACGGCCAAGCCCCAAACGTACGGGCGGCAGCAGCGGCAGGAAGAGCAGCAGCAGCAGCAGCAGCAGGAGAAGCACACCCACACCCCAGCGATGGCTTCTCTGTTGCGACAAAACAGATGCGGCGTCGGCATCGCCGTCGAAGTGGCGTGCGGTGGCTGCGTGGCGGCGGAGGAGGAGGAGGCAGCGCCCTGCCGCTCATTTCATCCTGCACATCGGGCCTACGCTGGGATTGCCATCGCCGTTGAAAACAAAGATCCCCCCCCCCGCCGCCGTGTAGGCTGTAACAGGCTGTATAGGGGCAAGTGCTGTTAGTAGCGAGCACCTCACACACAGACACAGACAAAGATCCCCCATGTAGGCTGTAACAGGCTGTAGGGGCAAGTGCTGTTAGTAGCGAGCACCTCACACACAGACACAGACAAAGATCCCCCGTGTAGGCTGTAACAGGCTGTATAGGGGCAAGTGCTGTTAGTAGCGAGCACCTCACACACAGACACAGACAAAGATCCCCCGTGTAGGCTGTAACAGGCTGTAGGGGCAAGTGCTGTTAGTAGCAAGCACCTCACACACAGACACAGACAAAGATCCCCCGTGTAGGCTGTAACAGGCTGTAGGGGCAAGTGCTGTTAGTAGCGAGCACCTCACACACAGACACAGACAAAGATCCCCCGTGTAGGCTGTAACAGGCTGTAGGGGCAAGTGCTGTTAGTAGCAAGCACCTCACACACAGACACAGACAAAGATCCCCCGTGTAGGCTGTAACAGGCTGTAGGGGCAAGTGCTGTTAGTAGCGAGCACCTCACACACAGACACAGACAAAGATCCCCCGTGTAGGCTGTAACAGGCTGTAGGGGCAAGTGCTGTTAGTAGCGAGCACCTCACACACAGACACAAAGATCCCCCGTGTAGGCTGTAACAGGCTGCAGGGGCAAGTGCTGTTAGTAGCGAGCACCAACAACAACAACAACAACCGCCATTCGCCACTAAGTGGCGGTGACGTCACCACGACGCTTGTGCCAGGCTATGTGCACCGTGAGGCCACGTGAAGTGTCGAACGCCCGCTGGCAGGAGGTCACTGGGCAGACCCAGGTGCCACGGGTCGACTGACTGAGATGACTGGCTGATGCACCACCTGTGCCCCCTACTGTGCCAACCTGCTGTGCTTTAGCCACCCGGCATTCCGCTCGTTGTTGTGAGCGTCGCTCCTCCGCCCTCCGTTGTTGTTGGAGGGCGACTGCCTCCAACTGCCCAGTAGCATCCTTCACGAGCCTCCTCCACAGAGGCCGTTGTTGACACCGCTGGTACCAGTCATCGGCAAGTCCACTCAGCTCCACGTCCTCCTGTACCACATCACTCCATCTCTTCTCTAGCCCGTGCCGCGCCCGCTCAGCCCCCTCAATCCGGCCAAACAAAAGCTATTTCGGCATGCGGTGGCTGGGCATGCGGGCTACATGACCCAGCGAGCACCTCACACACAGACACAGACACAAAGATCCCCCGTGTAGCCTTTAACAGGCTGTAGGGGCAAGTCCTGTTAGTAGCGAGCACCTCACACACAGACACAAAGATCCCCCGTGTAGGCTGTAACAGGCTGTAGGGGCAAGTGCTGTTAGTAGCGAGCACCTCACACACAGACACAGACACAAAGATCCCCCGTGTAGCCTCTAACAGGCTGTAGGGGCAAGTGCTGTTAGTAGCGAGCACCTCACACACAGACACAGACAAAGATCCCCCATGTAGGCTGTAACAGGCTGTAGGGGCAAGTGCTGTTAGTAGCAAGCACCTCACACACAGACACAGACAAAGATCCCCCGTGTAGGCTGTAACAGGCTGTAGGGGCAAGTGCTGTTAGTAGCGAGCACCTCACACACAGACACAGACAAAGATCCCCCGTGTAGGCTGTAACAGGCTGTAGGGGCAAGTGCTGTTAGTAGCGAGCACCTCACACACAGACACAGACAAAGATCCCCCGTGTAGGCTGTAACAGGCTGTAGGGGCAAGTGCTGTTAGTAGCGAGCACCTCACACACAGACACACAGATCCCCCGTGTAGGCTGTAACAGGCTGTAGGGGCAAGTGCTTTTAGCGAGCACCTCACACACAAAGCTCCCCCGTGTAGCCTCTAACAGACTGCAGGGGCAAGTGCTGTTAGCAAGCACCTCACACACACACAGACACAGACAAAGCTCCCCCGTGTAGCCTCTAACAGGCAGTAGGGGAAAGTGCTGTTAGTAGCGAGTATCAGCAGCAGCAGCGCCTATGAAGGCTACCGGCACTGTGGCACACGAGGGGGTGGGTGGCCAGCACCACAAAGACAAACATCCCCCATATATCCTTAACAGACTATAGGGGCAAGTGCTGTTTGCGAGCACTGCTTATGAAGGCTGGCACAATGGCACACAAAGGCAAAATCATAGATCCTCCATATAGCTTTAATAGACTATAGGAGCAAGTGCTGTGAGTAGCGTGCAGCAGCGCCTATGAAGGCTGCCGGCACTGTGGCACACGAGGGTGTGGGTGGTCAGCACCACGCCCGGCCGCCTTTGTCTCCCCAGCTGCAACGCTTACTGCACACCGCACCAGGTACTCATTTTTGAGGCCGATTCGACCTAGGCGAGACCCAGCACTGGTTCAAGTTAACCGTCACCGATGGTGTTGGTGGCCTTGAGCGGGAACGTGAACGTGTGTCGCCGGTGTTCGCAGCGCGACGCGCCAACCCCGCTTGTGCCACTGCTCCCCAAACACGCAAAGACAAAGATCCCCCGTATGGCCTTGACACTGTGGGGGCAAAGTGCTGTTCGCAAGTTCCAGCAGCGGCTACGCAGGCCCGGCACACGGGATGGCCTGCACCGCGCCCGGTCGCCTCTCGCCTACTGCCGCGCCACGCCGCGCCGCGCCGGCTACTCATTTTGAGGCCGAGTCGACCTAGGGGAGGCCCGGAACCAGTTCAGATAAATCGTCGCCGGAATCGAGCTCGTCGCGCTGGCGCTCCCCGTCACCGCCGGCGCCAGCATCACCGCCAGCATCACCACCAGCATCACCACCAGCATCACCGCCAGCATCACCGCCAGCATCACCGCCAGCATCACCACCAGCATCACCGCCAGCATCACCGCCAGCATCACCGCCAGCATCACGACCAGCATCACCACCAGCATCACCGCCAGCATCACCGCCAGCATCACCGCCAGCATCACCGCCAGCATCACCGCCAGCATCACCGCCAGCATCACCGCCAGCATCACCGCCAGCATCACCGCCAGCATCACCGCCAGCATCACCGCCAGCATCACCGCCAGCATCACCGCCAGCATCACCGCCAGCATCACCACCAGCATCACCACCAGCATCACCACCAGCATCACCGCCACCATCACCGTACGCACAAGAGCCCCCCCCGTGTGGAAAATCACCGAGCGCGTCCTCGCTTTGACGCACGGCAAGTCGCGACGGCAGATCCATTGTCGCGCCGATTCGCTCTCAGCAACGGGGATTTGCGTTCGAGGCACAATCCGTCGCGCACACCACCGCAGACGCAGCCGCAACACAGATTCGGTCAGCGCAGATTCGGCGACATCAGAGATTCGGTCGGCACCACAACATGGCAACCGCAGGCTCGTGGCGGACACCCGATTCAACTTCGATCGCCGCGGCGACGCACACGGACCGACAGTTTCCCCGGGTTGCGGGAGACCCCCTGCCCCCCACCTCCCTGCCCCCCCCCCCTACAAATCGTGTCGACGAGTAAAAGAAGGAAGAAAATTCGACGCGCGGACATCTTTCGCGTTCGCTGCGCGAGCGAAAGGCAGTGTGCGGATGAACGCCGCGGAGCGAGGAGGCGCACCACAGGGCAGCCGCCGCCTTACGCCTCCTCGCTCGGAGCTCCACCGTGGTCGGAATTTATCTTCGATTTTGGGGGGGGGGGGGGGGGGGTAGCTGCGCCTGTGTTCACGTGTGCAACAACGCAGGTGAAGAGATCCCGCAGCGACACAGGGTGTCACGCTCACCAACTCGGATTCACGCCCGAGAGCGGACTCGCCACGTTCACGCGCCACACGTTCACGGCCGTGGCAACGGACGTCTCAGCCGCGGCAACGGACGTCTTCAGCCGTGGCAACGGATGTCTCACACGTGGCAACGGATGTCTCACAAGTGGCAACGGATGTCTCACACGTGGCAACAGATGTCTCACAAGTGGCAACGGATGTCTCAGCCGCGGCAACGGACGTCTCAGCCGCGGCAACGGATGTCTCACACGTGGCAACGGATGTCTCACAAGTGGCAACGGTTGTCTCAGCCGTGGCAACGGATGTCTCAGCCGCGGCAACGGATGTCTCAGCCGCGGCAACGGATGTCTCACACGTGGCAACGGATGTCTCAGCCGTGGCAACGGATGTCTCACACGTGGCAACGGATGTCTCACACGTGGCAACGGATGTCTTCAGCCGCGGCAACGGATGTCTCAGCCGCGGCAACGGATGTCTCAGCCGTGGTAACGGATGTCTCAGGCGCGGCAACGGATGTCTCGGCCGCGGCAACGGATGTCTCAGCCAGTGGCAACGGATGTCTCAGCCGCGGCAACGGATGTCTCAGCCGTGGCAACGGATGTCTCAGCCGTGGCAACGGATGTCTCAGCCGCGGCAACGGATGTCTCAGCCGCGGCAACGGATGTCTCAGCCGTGGCAACGGACGTCTCAGCCGTGGCAACGGACGTCTCAGCCGCGGCAACGGACGTCTCAGCCGTGGCAACGGATGTCTCACACGTGGCAACGGACGTCTCAGCCGTGGCAACGGACGTCTCAGCCGCGGCAACGGATGTCTCAGCCGCGGCAACGGATGTCTCAGCCGCGGCAACGGACGTCTCAACCGCGGCAACGGACGTCTCAGCCGTGGCAACGGACGTCTCAGCCGCGGCAACGGACGTCTCAGCCGTGGCAACGGAGGTCTCACACGTGGCAACGGACGTCTCAGCCGTGGCAACGGACGTCTCAGCCGTGGCAACGGACGTCTCAGCCGCGGCAACGGACGTCTCAGCCGCGGCAACGGATGTCTCAGCCGCGGCAACGGACGTCTCAGCCGTGGCAACGGATGTCTCAGCCGCGGCAACGGACGTCTCAGCCGCGGCAACGGACGTCTCAGCCGTGGCAACGGACGTCTCAGCCGCGGCAACGGACGTCTCAGCCGCAGCAACGGATGTCTCAGCCGTGGCAACGGACGTCTCAGCCGCGGCAACGGATGTCGCAGCCGCGGCAACGGATGTCTCAGCCGTGGCAACGGATGTCTCAGCCGCGGCAACGGATGTCTCACACGTGGCAACGGATGTCTCAGCCGCGGCAACGGATGTCTCAGCCAGTGGCAACGGATGTCTCAGCCGTGGCAACGGATGTCTCAGCCAGTGGCAACGGATGTCTCAGCCGCGGCAACGGATGTCTCAGCCGTGGCAACGGATGTCTCAGCCGTGGCAACGGATGTCTCAGCCGCGGCAACGGATGTCTCAGCCGCGGCAACGGATGTCTCAGCCGTGGCAACGGACGTCTCAGCCGTGGCAACGGACGTCTCAGCCGCGGCAACGGACGTCTCAGCCGTGGCAACGGATGTCTCACACGTGGCAACGGACGTCTCAGCCGTGGCAACGGACGTCTCAGCCGCGGCAACGGATGTCTCAGCCGCGGCAACGGATGTCTCAGCCGCGGCAACGGACGTCTCAACCGCGGCAACGGACGTCTCAGCCGTGGCAACGGACGTCTCAGCCGCGGCAACGGACGTCTCAGCCGTGGCAACGGATGTCTCACACGTGGCAACGGACGTCTCAGCCGTGGCAACGGACGTCTCAGCCGTGGCAACGGACGTCTCAGCCGCGGCAACGGACGTCTCAGCCGCGGCAACGGATGTCTCAGCCGCGGCAACGGACGTCTCAGCCGTGGCAACGGATGTCTCAGCCGCGGCAACGGACGTCTCAGCCGCGGCAACGGACGTCTCAGCCGTGGCAACGGACGTCTCAGCCGCGGCAACGGACGTCTCAGCCGCGGCAACGGACGTCTCAGCCGCGGCAACGGATGTCGCAGCCGCGGCAACGGATGTCTCAGCCGCGGCAACGGATGTCTCAGCCGTGGCAACGGATGTCTTCAGCCGTGGCAACGGATGTCTCAGCCGTGGCAACGGATGTCTCAGCCGCGGCAACGGATGTCTCAGCCGTGGCAACGGATGTCTCAGCCGCGGCAACGGATGTCTCAGCCGCGGCAACGGATGTCTAGCCGTGGCAACGGATGTCTCAGCCGCGGCAACGGATGTCTCAGCCGTGGCAACGGATGTCTCAGCCGCGGCAACGGATGTCTCACACGTGGCAACGGATGTCTCAGCCGCGGCAACGGATGTCTCAGCCGTGGCAACGGATGTCTCAGCCGCGGCAACGGATGTCTCAGCCGCGGCACCGGATGTCGCAGCCGCGGCAACGGATGTCTCAGCCGCGGCACCGGATGTCTTCAGCCGTGGCAACGGATGTCTCAGCCGTGGCAACGGATGACTTCAGCCGTGGCAACGGATGTCTCCGCCGTGGCAACGGATTTAATCGCGATGACAGATTCATTGTCACGCCGATTCACTCTCAGCAACGAGGATTTACGTTCGAGACAAATCCGTCGCGCACACCACCGCAGACGCAGCCGCAACACAGATTCGGTCAGCGCAGATTCGGCGACATCAGAGATTCGGTCACCACAACAACACGCCACGCTGTTGTTCCCTTCCCTGCTCTCTCGTGTGACACGGAAACAACGATTCACTCAAATTATTGAATGACTGCAGGGGCCCCCAACCCCCCCCCCCCCCCCCCCCCCCCCCCTTTAGCACCACCACTCCCCCTCAACCCCCAAAAGACATCTGTGAAGAGCTTCAGAGCTCATCGGATTCCCCGCAGGCTAAATGAAGACTCCCCATTGTTATACCGAAGGGGGACAAACAAGTGGAGAAATAGCGCAGAGTGACGGTGCCGGGCAGAGTGGGATCGTAGCGGAGTAGTTTGGTAAGGGCCCTGGCGGAATTCATTAAATGCCCGCCCCCCCGCCGCCCCCGTCCAATCAATTTGTTTAAAAAAGAGCTTTACAGCTCTTCAGATTCCGCACAGTCTAAATGAAGATCCCCATTGTTATTCTGGAGGCGGACAAACACGCTTGGAGTAATAACGCCGAGTGACGGTGCTGGGCAGAGCGGTTTGGCATGGGCCCTGGCGGAAACAATGAAATGGGGACTTCCCTACTCTTTCGTTATTTTGGTAAAGTCACGTAGGTATAAAATAAAAAAATATATATATACCTACGTGACTTTTATATATATATACCTACGTGACAACTTTACCGAAAGAACCAAATAGTATGGATTCCTGCAGTCACGAAAGCTTCAAATCAAGAAAAACAAACGGTTGGTGCTGTTAGCGTCGGGATGTTGTGCTAACCCAGTGGTGTGGCCAAACCCTGTCTCACCAGCGCGTACGTGCTACTCGTTCACGTCTTAGTTGCCATAGGGTAGACCCAGGAACGGTTCGGATATCACCGCCCGCCGATGTCGGCTGTGGCAAGGAATCGAACTCAGGTCGCCGGGTCCCTAGCGCGGTACCGATGAACTATGAGAGCCACCGCTCCTCCGCTACCTCCGTCTAATATACAGGCAGAGACAAATATTCTCCGTGTCGCTTTGAGCAGACTGCTGGGGCGCGAGTGCTCTTAGCGAGCACCCCGAATATATTTATGAAAAACAAACGAGAGCTCTGTAGCTCATCGGATTCCCCTGGCTTGCAAGTACAGCGTAAAACCTCGGGATTTTCGAGCATAATTCGTTCCGGAAACGTGTTTGTAATCCAAAGCACTCGTAGATCGAAGCACTCGTATGTCAGTTGTGATCGCGTGACGCTCGGCAGTACAAAGCGTGCACACGTACTACTCTTTGGTTTTATTTCGGCAAAGTCACGCAGGTAAAACGAATTAAAATAAACAATTAAAATACGACGTTTCGGAGGCAACGCAAGCTTCCGCCTTCAGGTGGGACCAGTCACAGCCAAAATCGCTGCGAGGCTCTGGGAACCTAGCGCTTAAATACAGGTTGAGGTGGGGCGGGGGGGGGTGTGGGAGGGGCCATGTGGGGGGACTTACGGTGGGGTGCGGAGGGGGGGGATGGGTCCTTGTGTGTGTGCAGGGATGAGTTAATCCGTCTTTTGTTGTGTGTAGGGTGCGGGAGATGGGTCACCGTGTGTGTGCAATATACGTACTACTACTCGTATTGCAAGACACCCCCCCCTCCCCCTTCTCGCACGTTTATCAAATTAATATTTATTTAAAACGTTTAGCTCGTCTTGCAAAACACTCGCAGACCAAGTTGCTCGCAATCATTATGAGACCTCCGTTGCCAGTAACAAGATATAGGAATAGGTTTTACCCTTTTAACTGGCACAAAAACTGACACCTTTGTTCAAGGCATCATGTTTGCAATAACCACAACACAAGCAGTCAAAATGCAAACAAAAAAGACAACTCTGATAATAATATTGGCACTGTCCTTGAATTTGATTGGTCCACACCCGAGACGGCTTTTCTTAGAGCCTAGTCTTATGGCGTCATCTGGTCCAACACCAATGGAGACTAGGCTCTAAGAAAAGCTGTCTCGGGTGTGGACCAATCAAATTCAAGGACAGTGCATAGTATTATCAGAGTTGTCTTTTTTGTTTGCATTTTGACTGCTTGTGTTGTGGTTATTGCAAACATGATGCCTTGAACAAAGGTGTCAGTTTTTGTGCCAGTTAAAAGGGTAAAACTTGCTCGCAATCCACAAGCTTTTACTGTCTAAATAAAAGGATTCTGAATATCTGTTTTTTATTGTTTTTAACCAGGTAAGGCCCCCACACCGAGCTACGGATGAATAGCTCCTCTTCAGGAGTGGCCTGGCGGTCACAAGTTACGTCAGCACGACCAAGTGGCGGCTTTCCATCGCGTCGCAATTTAAAGCAGCGGCCAAACACTCTGAGCGTGTGACGACGATTCGAAATGTGGGGGAGGAAAAAGTGGGGGACCCGGAGGGAAAAAAATCCATGCCGCCACGGGGAGAGAGAGAGAGAGACACGTAAACTCCAAATATACAGCAGCAGCAGCAGGCATCATCAGAGTCGGGATCGAACCCACGACCTACCGCATGCCAGGCGAGGTAGTTAACATCTCATAGCCACCTTGATGATCATGATGATGAAAGAGAGAGACACGCAAACTCCAAATATAAAGCAGCAGGCGTCATCAGGGTCGGGATCGAACCCACGACCTCCTGTAGACCAGCGAAGGTAGTTAACATCTCATAGCCACATCAACACTCCAAATATACAGCAGCAGGCGTCATCAGGGTTTGGATCGAACCCACGACCTCCTGTATACCAGGCGAGGTAGTTAACTTCTCATAGCCACATCAACACTCCAAATATACAGCAGCAGGCGTCATCAGGGTTTGGATCGAACCCACGACCTCCTGTATACCAGGCGAGGTAGTTAACTTCTCATAGCCACCGTGACGATGATGATAGAGAGAGACACGCAAACTCCAAATATACAGCAGCAGGCAACATCAGGGTCGGGATCGAACCCACGACCTCCTGTGTACCAGGCGAGGTAGTTAAAATCTCATAGCGACCGTGATGATTATGACGATGATGATAGAGAGAGACACGCTAACTCTAAATATACAGCAGCAGGCGTCATCAGGGTCGGGATCGAACCCACGACCTCCTGTATACCAAGCGAGGTAGTTAACATCTCATAGCCACCATGATGATGATGATAGAGAGAGACATGCTAACTCCAAATATGCAGCAGCAGCAGGCATCATCAGGGTCGGGATCGAACCCACGACCTCCTGCGTACCAGGCGAGGTAATTAACATCTCCTAGCCACATCCACACTCCAAATATAAAGCAGCAGGCGTCATCAGGGTCGGGATCGAACCCACGACCTCCTGTATACCAGGCGAGGTAGTTAACATCTCATAGCCACATCCACACTCCAAATATACAGCAGCAGACGTCAGGGTCGGGATCGAACCCACGACATCCTGTATACCAGGCGAGGTAGTTAACATCTCCTAGCCACCGTGATGATGATGATAGAGAGAGACACGCAGACTCCAAATATACAGCAGCAGGCATCATCAGGGTCGGGATCGAACCTACGACCTCCTGTGTATCAGGCGAGGTAGTTAACATCTCATAGCCACCGTGATGATGATAGAGACACGCTAACTCCAAATATACAGCAGCAGGCATAATCAGGGTCGGGATCGAGCCCACGACCTCCTGTATACCAGGCGAGGTAGTTAACATCTCATAGCCACCGTGATGATGATGATGAAAGAGAGAGACATGCTAACTCCAAATATGCAGCAGCAGCAGGCGCCATCAGGGTCGGGATCGAACCCACGAACTCCTGCGTACCAGGCGAGGTAGTTAACATCTCCTAGCCACATCCACACTCCAAATATACAGCAGCAGACGTCAGGGTCGGGATCGAACCCACGACCTCCTGTGTACCAGGCGAGGTAGTTAACATCTCGCCAGCGCGCAGCCTCCCCCCACCTCTGTCGTGCCCCAGCTGGGCCTCTCCGGCCCGTGGGCCCCCCCCCCCCCGGGTGAGGCCGCAACCCGGCCTGGACACTCCCCCATGAGCCACTGCACCCTGCTTTGAATTCACAGAATCTGAAGGCGGCAAAGCAAAAAAAAGAACACGGATTTTTTAAACAACGCAGATTCGCCCAGGGTTGGGTCAATCCGGGGCTAAAAAGAAATCAACACCCTCCCTCCCCGGGCGGCGGTTCACCCTGCCGCGAATATTGAAGCGGGTTTAGATCCCCTGTTGTCGGGGTGGGGAGCAGATGGGGACGAAAGCAAATCAGCCACGCGGGAACCCCGTGGGAATCCGTGGCATCGACTGCACCACCGTCTCCCTTTCTAGGAGTGGTCGACGGCTGGGATTGCTAAAAAGGCTGCCGGACACCACCCCACCGCAAACACAAACTCCATCGCCACCACAACCATCACGACTCCTACCAACATCACCACCACCATCCACTCACCATCACCACCACAACCTCCATCACCACCACCATCCCCACCACCGGTTCCCGGTCAAAAGCTCTCGGGGGCCGAAGGCCGAAACCGCTCTGGCCAGCCGTAAAAATCCACCCTTGGACATCTCGGCTAAAAAAAATCCACCACCACCCCTCCTGCCCTCTCCTCGCCAGAAAAAGAAAAAAAAACAGCCAGTCCATTGCCCGAGCAATCGGAATCCAGAGCAGAGCATTTAGTTGACACACGACTGCAGGAGGAGGAGGAATCCAAAGAGCTATAAAGCTCTTTCTCAAATACGTCCCAGACAAGAGGTCCGCCATGGGGGTCAGAACGTTACAACAACTACGAACGATACATAATCGAGGCTTTTTGGTTACATCGCGTAAATATACCACCAACACGACATTGTTAAACCCACCACCAACACAACATTGTTAAACCCACCACCAACACGACATTGTTAAACCCACCACCAACACGACATTGTTAAACCCACCACCAACACGACATTGTTAAACCCACCACCAACACGACATTGTTAAACCCACCACCAACACAACATTGTTAAACCCACCACCAACACAACATTGTTAAACCCGCCACCAAGACAACATTGCTAAACCCACCACCACCAAGACATTGTTAAACCCACCACCAACACAACATTGTTAAACCCACCACCAACGCGACATTGTTAAACCCACCACCAACACGACATTGTTAAACCCACCACCAACACGACATTGTTAAACCCACCACCAACACGACATTGTTAAACCCACCACCAACACAACATTGTTAAACCCACCACCAACACGACATTGTTAAACCCGCCACCAACACGACATTGTTAAACCCACCACCAACACAACATTGTTAAACCCACCACCAACACAACATTGTTAAACCCACCACCAACACAACATTGTTAAACCCACCACCAACACATTGTTAAACCCACCACCAACACATTGTTAAACCCACCACGAACACAACATTGTTAAACCTGCCACCAACACAACATTGTTAAACCCGCCACCAACACAACATTGTTAAACCCACCACCAACACAACATTGTTAAACCCACCACCAACACGACATTGTTAAACCCACCACCAACACAACATTGTTAAAACCACCACCAACACGACATTGCTAAACCCACCACCAACACGACATTGTTAAACCCACCACCAACACGACATTGTTAAACCCACCACCAACACAACATTGTTAAACCCACCACCAACACAACATTGTTAAACCCGCCACCAACGCGACATTGTTAAACCCGCCACCAACACAACATTGTTAAAACCACCACCAACACAACATTGTTCAACCCACCACCAACACGGCATTGTTAAACCCACCATCAACACAACATTGTTCAACCCACCACCAACACAACATTGTTAAACCCACCACCAACACAACATTGTTCAACCCACCACCAACACAACATTGTTAAACCCACCACCAACACAACATTGTTCAACCCACCACCAACACAACATTGTTAAACCCACCATCAACACAACATTGTTCAACCCACCACCAACACAACATTGTTAAACCCGCCACCAACACAACATTGTTAAACCCACCACCAACACAACATTGCTAAACCCACCACCAACACGACATTGTTAAACCCGCCACCAACACAACAATGTTAAACCCACCACCAACACAACATTGTTAAACCCGCCACCAACACAACATTGTTAAACCCACCACCAACACAACATTGTTAAACCCACCACCAACACGACATTGTTCAACCCACCACCAACACAACATTGTTAAACCCGCCACCAACACAACATTGTTAAAACCACCACCAACACAACATTGTTAAACCCACCACCAACACAACATTGTTAAACCCACCACCAACACGACATTGTTAAACCCACCACCAACACAACATTGTTCAACCCACCACCAACACGACATTGTTCAACCCACCACCAACACGACATTGTTAAACCCACCACCAACCCAACATTGTTAAACCCACCACCAACACGACATTGTTCAACTCACCACCAACACAACATTGTTAAACCCACCACCAACACAACATTGTTAAACCCACCACCAACACGACATTGTTCAACCCACCACCAACACAACATTGTTAAACCCACCACCAACACAACATTGTTAAACCCACCACCAACACGACATTGTTAAACCCACCACCAACACGACATTGTTAAACCCACCACCAACACGACATTGTTAAACCCACCACCAACACGACATTGTTAAACCCACCACCAACACAACATTGTTAAACCCGCCACCAACACAACATTGTTAAACCCACCACCAACACAACATTGTTAAACCTGCCACGAACACAACATTGTTAAACCCGCCACCAACACAACATTGTTAAACCCACCACCAACACGACATTGTTAAACCCGCCACCAACCCAACATTGTTAAACCCACCACCAACCCAACATTGTTAAACCCACCACCAACACGACATTGTTCAACCCACCACCAACACAACATTGTTAAACCCACCACCAACACAACATTGTTAAACCCACCACCAACACGACATTGTTCAACCCACCACCAACACAACATTGTTAAACCCACCACCAACACAACATTGTTAAACCCACCACCAACACGACATTGTTAAACCCACCACCAACACAACATTGTTAAACCCACCACCAACACAACATTGTTAAACCCGCCACCAACATAACATCGTTGATGGCGAGTTTAACGACACGTTCATATTCACGCCATCTAACCCAAAAGCCTCGATGATGTATCGTTTGTTGTTGTAATGTTGTAAATGTTCCGGGTTTACTCTCCAACACACCGGTCAGTGCCGAGCTAGTAACCGAATTGGCACGGTTTGGCTCCGTGACACAGCCTCACTCGCCGGCTGCGTGGGGGGTGGTCGCGGATTTAACGACGCATTTTTATTCACGCGAGCCAGCCCAAGCACATCTATTGTGCATAATATTGCTCGCGAAAGCATCATCCTCCTACTACTACGTGTTAAACTAACAAAACAATTTAATAGTCGAAAACACGACGGGAGTGCAAAGAATGGGAAAGGTAAGGACATCACTCGAAAGAATATAAAAGTTAAACTAAACCATTTAAATTTTTACCAGGTAAGGCCTCAACTGAGCTATTTGATTTTCTTTTTCAAAAGCGACCCTGGCCATCACAAGCGACAGCTCAACCAAAGTGGCTCACCGTCACCATCACCGTGTGGAAATTTATAGCGGCAGCCAGACACTTGAAACGAGTGAGAGAGCGCGATTCGGGGGCACGGGAAACCACAGATGGGTAAGAAAGGGCAGCTCTAAAAAAACATGAAAATGTAAAACTATTTTTGTTTTACCAAGCAAAGGCCCCACTGGGCTGTGGCTTTTTTTTTTCAGAAACGAAGACGGCTATCGCAAACGATAGCTCAACTTAGTGACTTATCGTCGCGTGGCAATTTACAGCCACCAAAAACTCGAAACATCTCCTAGCCACTGTTATGATGAGAGAGAGAGACACGCAAACTCCAAATGTACAGGAGGCATAGTCAGGGTCGGGATCGAACCCACGGCCTCCTGCATACTAGGCGAGGTAGTTAACATCTCCTAGCCACCGTTATGATGAGAGAGAGAGAGACACGCAAACTACAAATGCACAGCAGGCATAGTCAGCGTCGGGATCGAACCCACGGCCTCCTGCATACCAGGCGAGGTAGTTAACATCTCCTAGCCACCGTTATGATGAGAGAGACACGCATACTCCAAATGTACAGGAGGCATAGTCAGGGTCGGGATCGAACCCACGGCCTCCTGCATACCAGGCGAGGTAGTTAACATCTCCTAGCCACCGTTATGATGAGAGAGAGACACGCAAACTCCGAATTGTCAGAAGGCATAGTCAGGGTCGGGAACGAACCCACAGCCTCCTGCATACCAGGCGAGATAGTTAACATCTCTTAGCCACCGTGATGATGAGAGAGAGAGAGAGACATGCAAACTCCAAATGTACAGGAGGCATAGTCAGGGTCGGGATCGAACCCACGGCCTCCTGCATACCAGGCGAGGCAATTAACATCTCCCATCATAAACCAACCCCGCCCGGTCTCGCACCAAACCACACTGCCCATCACCAAACCGAAGCTGTTAATCCATCACGCGGAACTCCGGTCACCCTCGCAGCAGATTCCGGCTCGCCATTGAACAAAGAGGGCGGTCACCGCATCGCGTGGCGCTTTCCTGATGCGCTTCTGCGGCCGTCTGGAACGCTCTTCCCCTTACGATATTTGGAAGCCACTGGGGAGCTGTGCGCACTTTTAAACCATCATGTAGATTGACAAAACTAATTGCTTTAGAACTGCTGTTTGTGTGTTTAGTTTGTTGTCCTTCACCCCCCCCACCACGCATCTCCGATTAGCGCGGTTGGCTACATACGACGCGAAAGAAGTTCAACGTATGTACACTACACTACAACAACACTACATACTACACTACTATATACTATACGCTATACTACTAAACACTACTATATACACTATTTTACACTACACTACTATACACGACTAGACTACTACACTATACACTACAGTATACACTGAACTAGTAAACACTACACCACTGCACGACTATACACTGCTAAACACTACATTATACACTACACTATACTCCTACACACTACACCACTATAATCTTGATTTGCAGATTTCGTGACTGCAGGAATCCATACTCTTTGGTTCTTTCAGTAAAGTCACGTAGGCAGAAATAATTATAATAGATCACGGCGTTTCGATCGCAACACAAGCGGTCGCCCGCGGGCGGAAAAAAATAATATTACAGCAGTCGGTTCAGCAGTTCCACTGTTTATATTTAAAGCTTTCGTGACTGCAGCGATTCATATTCTTGGTTCTTTGGGTAAAGTCACGTTTAGATGGGAAATAA